TTTCATGGAAAGATGGCAATCACAGTGTCATGCTTTTTCACCAGAGCAGAACAATGCTGTATACAGAAAACAGCACAGATGAGAAGGGCAATAACATTGTTTGGGTTGTGTTATGGCTTTGTTAATGACATGTCCTGTGGAGTTGCATCAACAGTTACAAGCTGCAGGATTCCAGAGGACAATGGCACTATGACACGTGGCATTCTGTTTTTATTCACCTGTGGGCTTATTTATGAGGCCTTCTTAGGCTGAATTTGTACCATAGTTGAGTGCTACAGTGCTACATGTTACATATGCATGTTATTTGGCTGATACTTTGGTCTATCAGCCACCTACAGGGACCATCCCCTGGAGTAAATTGATGTTAGGTGTCACTCTCAAGGGCACAATGACCACCATCAACTTAGACTCAACCATGATTAGCCCTCACCATGGTTTGCTTCTTGACCTGTAGCCTACTGACACTTTTGCTAACTTGTTGACTTAACCGAATGCTACAATGCTACAAATTGTATACATTCATATGTGATTTGGCTTATACTATGGTCTGTTAGCTACCTAGAATGGTTGATGCCCTGCTGTAACTTGGGGTTAGGTGCCACAATCAAGAGCGCAATTGTTACCACTGACTGAGATTGAGCCCATGGTTTCCCTTTAGCTGACGGCTAACACTGTGGGTTGCTTCTTGATCCCTAACATACTGTTTCTGTTGAGCTAATTGGCTAATTTAGTTAACACTTGCTATGGCTAATCAAGGACAATAGGCTAGGAGTGTGACCCACTAAAGTAACTTGCCCCCAGTAACTGGGGTCCAGACGAAGTGAAATATTTAATAGCATTATGGACAGACACTACTGTGCAAAACAAACTGCAGACGAAGAAGCTGAATGGATAAGCAATTGGTAATTGGGTGCTGCGTAATTAGTGGATTTACATATTCTGTCCCACACAGCAATCAGATTTCAGTCCGAGTAACTGGAGATGCATTTGACCACCAAGTGTAAATGCATGTCGCTAAAATCTTATCAGGATACAATCCAGATACTAGTCACATTAAGTGACCAGGTGTAAATAGGGTCATGATGATGTGACGTGATAGATAATTAGTTCTTAAGATGACACCAAGGCCCAATCCCATTTCTTGTTTTTATCCATACCCCTTGTTTTTGAGCGTCACCTTGCCCCTTAGAACTGAGTTACTAGGTGTAGTCATTGAAGTCTTCCCCAAATGAAATGGGACAACCCTCAAATAGAAAAGAACATTACTTCATTAACAGACTTCTAGGGGTGCTCTGTAGGTGACCCTGCCAGTCTGCAGTGATAGCAGAGGAGGGTAAAGTTCAGCAACCTCTTTAGTTAAATTTAATCATATGCCCTTAAAGAGGGGGGCATGCGTCAATTATTTATCATTGCTAACACCTAAATCTTCAGTGATATGAAGCTGAAGTCAGAGTGTGCCTCTGAAAAACCTCAGTTTGGAAGTCTAACACTTTGCCGTACCCCTCTATCTCAGCAAAAATCAGGACACCCTACCCCTATCTGTGAATGCACAAAACAAAGGAGTAAGGGCTAAGTGCTAGGGGCAAGGGGTGAAATGGGATTGGGCCTAAATATGTAACGCTACTGCAACAGACCCTGCATTTTATTTCGCCACCCCTTTGTCTTTTTAGTGGCTTTTTTTGACAGAAGCAAAAGACCCTGCTTAATTTGCATGTTGATTTTGATTGTTCAGTTTGTTATTTAAAGGAATTGTTCATCAAAAAAATCACAGAAGTTCACAAAATTTTACACAAGTTTTCCACTTAAACCAGATGTAATTGATAAACTTATTACTTATCCAAATGTTGCTTCTTTAGCTTAATGCTGGAGTTATAAGACACACTGGAAGTCTGTAGTCACCCAAATCTTTTCTGTAAATACATCCATAAAACCTCTCTCAACCCACTCAAAACACATCCAGATCTTCATCTTGCAGTGGGTCATACTGTGTGTATAACCACATTGACAAATCTGAGTGGGTTGAAAGAGGTATTGGGGATATATTTACAGAAAAGGTTTGGGTGACTATTGACATCTAGTGTTTGTTAGCACATTAGCCTCATAGCTCTAGGGCAAAACTAGAAAAGCAAAATTTGGACACTGAACTTGTCTTGGCTGACTACTTAGGTATTTTTGGATAGAACTATTACTTTAAGTCAATAGGTTGTTAAAGGACACATTAATTGAACAGATATTTATGTCTATACTTTATTACATTTTATGTCTACCCCAACACTCATTTTCACAATATTCACATCATATATTATCTATGAAATTGATCTCATGATACAAATGTTTTACTTACAATACACTGTACAAACAGTATGATCAGTATACATTGCAAAAATCCCTTCAAATGTGTAATGAACATTTAGAAAACTCTGTAAGTTACATTATAGTAATAGCTGGAAATGAAATGGCACCACCAATTAAAAGCAAGCAGTATGAGCAGTATTGAATACTAAGACTACTAAGGTGGAATGTGTGATCAGAATGTCTCTGTTGATCACTATTGCCTTTAATTTCATAATTTTACCCTGATTTATTTAGGAATGCAGTTATGTTCTTCGTCAGCCATTGTCATTTTGTCACCTAATGTGTGACCTATAAAGTACCAACAAGTATCCTATGGAGCGATGTAACAGAACCACTTTTGGTTCCCTAAAGAACATTACACTATTCTTTAAATAGCCATGGACGATTCTTTAAAGAGCCAAGAGATGTGCACGTGTGACCTTTTTAAAATGTGAAGACCACATAAATTGAAAAGTTTGATGACCACAAAAGTTTGACTTCTACATTATGTTAAGGTTCTATACCAATTAAAGTTTTTTCTAGAACCGTACACCCAAGCCATTTAGGAACCATTTAAGTCAATAGAACCTTTACATTACGTGGAGGTTCTTTCTTCTCACTCACATAAGTCATTTACAAAAATGGTCCTCTAAAGAACCATTCATTGGAACGGAACTAAAAGTGGTCCCTCTATGGCATCGCTCTAAATAACCCTTTTGGCACCTGTGTACATAACAAATTCTAAAGCTTTTAAAGAGATTTTGGTAACACTTTACTGAAGGATGGCATTCATAAGGCTGCATGCCACCTACATAGAGCTACAAAGACATTTATAAAGGCTTATGCATGACAAAAGCAATCTTTATGACCACTGACACTTGTTGGAATAATCTTTTACAAATGATTAATTAGGTTGTTAGTTGTTATAAAACACTTATGTAGGCGTCATGTGGCCTTATGAAAAGTTCATAAGTAGCAAAGTAGTACAAGGTCATAAGTAGTCCCTTCAGGATAGTTACCAAGATTTTTAACCAGCTCTGCTTGTTGAAGTGTCAGCATTAGCGTAAACTTTGTACAGTCAAAAAGAGGAGCTTCCCCAAGTGAACCAGCTAACAGGGAACAGGATACATTATACAGCATTTCTTACAGTCCACACAGTCCACTTGGATATGTGAGAGTACCACCAAGGACCCTGGCACTCATTACTACTATACAGTACAGTAGCGAAGTCAGTTCTGCTCAAGTGAGTGGGGTTGGGTATGTAGGCTATCGCAAACAAAATAATAACCCACTGGTGGCACATACATCAGTAACTATAGACATTACTGTATTTAGCTAAAGTGTACTCACAGCACAACACTAAACATGGCTGTCTACCAAGAGCTGCTCCCCCAGCGAGTCCTTGATTTCATAACTGTTATTATGCACACAATTAAAGGAGCAAACGAGTTCTCCTCCTTTCTTCCTTACAGGGAAATACGGATGACTTTGCTATACCTCGCTGTCGTACACTCTTAAAAAGGTGGCTTTTCAAGGGTTCTTAAGTAAAGACCATGGTTCTGTTTAGATAAAGATGTATTCTTCAAGGGTTCTGCCATTGATACAAGCTTGATAACGCAACAATAGAAGAACGTTTTTTGGTGCTATATGGAACCTTTTTCAAAAAGTGTCTATATAGAACCATATACAACAGACTGAGGGAGAACGTGTCGTATATGGTTATATATAGAACCTTTTTGAAAGGGGTTCTATATAGCACCAAGGGTTCTGCTATTGTTATGATGTCAAGCTTGTAACAATAGAAGAACCATAGAGCCATAAACACACTCTCCATCAATCTGAAGAATGATTTCAGCATGTAAATGGTTCTTTGAGTGTTCATGGTTCTATATAGAACCACTGCCTTTACTGAAGAACCCTTGAAGAACCATCTTTTTTAAGAGTGCATTAAAACCTCATAACTTTATTCCCTCCCCCCTATTTTTTCAATTTACATGGTTTGAAAACACCAGCTGTCCTTTTCATGGCCAACAGATATGATCCAAAATTGCTTAGAATTAAAAGTTAAAAGGTATTTTTTTCAAAATTTCTATTTATTTAAATCTTTAATATGTAAACAAATTCATTCAGAGTGATTTGATGTGAAATGCTCCATTCTAAAGAAACTTACTTAGAATTGTTCACAGAGGGAATGATAGGAACCAGACATCCAAAACATTTAGGGATGTCTGAACCATTGCTTTGGGATAGTTTTGAGATAAACTTTTGGACTAAAACTTTTTTTTATAATCTTGCAGTGGTACATGCCATCTTTAGTAACCAAAGAACCACTTTTTTTACCCTCCTCAACATTACATATAGAAACTCTGAAGACACATGGAGGTTCGCTGGTCATTTTAGAAGATAAATAATAAACTAGCTATGTTTGGTAGGCATTGCCCACCCCCCACCTGTGACCCAAAATAATAAGTGGCTTAGAAAATGTGTGTGTGTGTGTGTGTGTGTGTGTGTGTGTGTGGTAGACATTGTGACCCCTGGTTCCTATCACCACCACTGTAAAGAAATCCAAATAAATTTCTCTACAGTGTCTCATTTAACATCAAACTCTGTGACTTTAGTGGAATGTTCTTCTTTTCCATTTTTTAGATTTGAGGTTTTGTTCCCGACAGCGACAAATAGTTCCTTCTATTGAAAGAGAACCAAAATGTGTCACATTGTTTATACGTAACAGTTCAAGAAGTTGCAACATTATATCAAAACAGAGATTCTCCATGCGCTCTGGTAGAGGTTGGCTAGAGACGAGGCTGGATGTTCCACTGGAGGGCTGGTTGTGTATCTATTGCAGGCTTCACATGAGTTCTGTACAACAAGAACCTGAAGAATTGTTCCAAAGAGTCACTTTTTCTTTACACAGGCTGCTTGAGTTTTCACAGGTGTTGCAGTTCAAGAGAAAGAAAATAACTATTGCACAATAGAGTCTGCTTTGTTTTCAGACACATCTCTTTTTTCCATTTTCCATTTGAACAGCTGTGCCCCACTGTTCAGGTCAAAAACATGACATATCTGGAGCTGATTTAACAAACTCCTCTTCAGACAAAAGGATGAAGATGAATTGCTGGATTGTAGGAACATGACGAAGATGAGGAATTAGTAGTTCTTGGCATCTTTGCTTTCATAAATGATCCTTCGTTTAAGCAGTCAACTGAAAATGAAGTCAAAGAAAGAATTATAACCATCATCTTTATCAGTAATGGCATCTTCATATGGAGCCACTGTTTTATATATATATATATATATATATATATATATATATATATATATATATATAAATATAAATATTTGCATATTTGCGCCTTACACATATGTACATCTGTGTCATTTACATAAAACAGCTTAAGTAATTTTGGGCCTTAAGCTTTCCCTTTATCTTAAGTGTGCTACGTCAAATCTGTTCAAGGACACGTTTAAGTCGAAATTAAAAAAAAAAAAAATAACATAATTGTAAATTGAGCTTTAGAACTTAAACTTAAGTTTCAGTACTTCAGTTTTTGACAGTTACAACAGTTCAGTTAACTAAAGATAAATACTTAAGATATTTTGTTTGAATGGTCACTGCTCCTGAGAGTTTAAAGTGACAATATATATTCTTTCTTCCATCTAACTGCTGCGGCTGCTGCCCGTGGCTTTAAAGGAAGTCTCTCAACAACACGTCCTTTAAGACCCTAAAGCAAATTTACACCTGGTTATAAAGGTTAAAGGACAAGCACCACAGAACTGTTTAGTAAATTTAAGAAAATATGCACTCAGCCATGTGTAATATCTCCACCTACATTTTGCATGGCCCTCCCTTAAATGCATGAGGAAGAGAATTGTATTTTGTGTTTTATTATGCACACCCAGGAGTGGTCTTTGCACTAGGCAAAGGTAGGCAATCATCTAGGGCCTCCATTAGCCAAGGGCCTTATCAACGTACAAATTAGATACACTGTACAGGTTGATGTTAAATAACCTATTACCAATTATATTGACATTATAAAAATAGTTGTTATTTGCATGTTATACTCCATGTTATTACGTGCTGATACAACCAAAGTCAATGAAGTCAGACTGGTATGAAATGGTATCTGGTATCTGTATAATAGAGAGAGTTCTTTAGAGTGATTTTCTGAGTGTTGAGAGGGAAGATCAAAGTTATCTAAGAGCAGCAGAGAAACTCCAAAAGAGGGAGGAAAGCAAAAAGTTTGTCGTGATGTTTCCAAAGCTAACTTTGTTTTTTCAGTCAAAACAGAGTGGTACTAGTGTTAATGTTAACCCCTTAAAATCTCAGGCTTATTACATACTAGGGCTTATTATTCAGTAACTACAGGGACTTCGGTGCTATTCTTAGGATATAGAAGTGTGTAATAAAACATTTAAGGGGGCCGTTTAGATAGCTCCAGTGTTGGGGTAATTACTCAAAATCCAGTAAGCCAGTAAAAATTACTAAGTACTTCTCTCAAAATTTAATCCCGGAAGAAGTAATCTCATTTTGCATTACTTTACTTCTCCATCATTCTGCACCAAATAATCTCATGATATTGGCCCATCATTTTGCTTGTTTCAAGCATTATTTCTTAAAATGATCCGGCATGTCGTGACAGAATTTCCCTTAATAAGACTACTTAACTAAAAAATGTCTAGAAATCAGTTAAATAATCATATAATACTCTCTCAACAATCTTAAACTAAGTAATATTAGATATATCAGCTAGATTTATGATGATTTCATCTGCCACTTGGGGGCCCAGGGTTTAGTTTAAAACTGTGCATCCAGGGGGGCCCATTCATGTCTTTTGTCTAAAGCCACAGAATCACTAATACACCCCTGTGCTTGCGGCCCACAAAGTGTGAATTTGGGTTGTGCACCAGTTTCATACATAAAACACAGGCAGAATTTGTCCGATTTGCACCTGAAACTGGCACAACAGTCTTAGTGTATCTGCCCTCTGTCTACACCTAATGAGGATCTTGGAAATGCAGTTGTGGTTGTCACCACCCAAACTATAGACATGACCAAATTCAAGTCCTCATCACCATCCCTAAACACATACTGCTCTCAATTAGGGGCGTAAATCTCTGACCACACAAAGTTTCTTTGGCAAATGATTCAATGCAGCATTGCCAGATTATTTTGGTACAATTCAGATTTATTTGTTTAAATATACTGAATATTGCTTGTAAATTTGGTTGCCCTTCTTTTTGGCTGCTAACCTGAGTGAATGTGCCCTCTACACATTTCAGTCGAGTCACAGTGGCATTAAAGTAAGCTCTCCCTGTATGGGCACTGATAGCAGGGTGATTTATGTGCCAGTGTACCGATCAGTAATGTGTGACAGGCAGGGCACTCAAAAATAAAAGATAAATCACTGAAGAGAGAGTGAGAGAGGAGACGTGGAGATGGGGGGAGAGAGAGAGAGCGTATATGGCAACAAACCCCAGCAAAAATAGCATTGATCTGAGTTGGTGTTCTGAAGAGAGGAGCAGATGTGTTTTATGTAACACACAGCGCAGAGGAGTCTTTGAAAAATTCCACTGGGCTGGGACCGGAGAGACACCCCTTCAGGGGGCGGGGCGGTGCTCTCCTAAAATGGTGTACCGCCTGGCGGTCATTAAACTAGCCCAGCTGCATGGCCTCTACTGTTACAACAACTAGTCTGGGTGCTCTTACCTACAGTCATGGCCTGACATGATCCTATCAGAATCAGAATCGTTTAGCCAAGTACATTTTCATACAGGAGGAATTTGTTCTGTTGAGCCTTCACACAAAGACAGAGACTATAAATCATGGGACAGATATACTAAAAGTGGCGCTTTTGGGGGTGGCCAATTTGGCGGGTTATCTACTAAGAACTTCCATGCAAATGGAAAGGCACAACTTCGTAATTAGCATATGAGCAGCGCAATATAACCTTGTGTTTGGCTCACATTTTTGTATTAAAACCCATTTCCAATAAATAAGAGAAAAAAGACTTTTATCCGTGTTTCAGTTCAAACTGTGGCTCATTAGGTCGAAATAATTTCCTATTTTCTAGTTTTCAAGTTGAATGTCAAAAACAATGAGTTATTACTTGTTGAAAAAGTCTGATTTTTTTAGAGAAAATAAGTCAATATTTCAAAATAATACATCAAAAATCAGAGAAAAGTAAGTAATTATTTTTGACTTTCTGTTTTAAAACGCATGCTCATTTTCAGCTGGAAGGATGAGCTGAAGTCAGCCGCATCCACATGGTTTGAGAATTGTATGATTTTGAGTGTAAGCTCTTAGCTAAGCTCTTATTTATTTATTTATTTATTTATTTATTTAAAGAATAATGTGGTATACATGGCAGGCATACCATCAAAATAAATGTAAAAAATAAAACTCTTTAAGCTCTGAGCATAAACAACTGCAGCCATCTTAGTGTTAGAAATAAAAAAACTTTTCTCAGGCATTAAATAGAGCCAAGTCAGTATTTACTAGTCTTGGTAAATCAGGTGCTTCATAATCATCTCCTCCTAGTATTTTGCGCTTGGAGAGGGAAACTCTTACAAATGCATAAGTGATGAGCACAAAGAGTAACAACCATTTTTTTGTCTTATTACAAATGATTCTGATTATTAGCACTATTATGCTCATTTAATAAATGTTGACAGGCACTTTTTAATGCCAAAATAGTTCTTGTGATGGTGCAAAACGTAAAGTAAATCTGCCCAATTTACTGCCCAAATCTGCTCAAATCCGCAAAACATGTAATTTGACTGTGGGTATTCAAACTTTTGCACACAACTGTATAAACGTCAGCCATGCTACAGTAACTATGGGTTTAGTCCATGATGTTAACTTGATAGCTTGATAGCAACAGCTGAAGCTGGTGAAATTTCTGCTTAGCCTGTGTGTTTATCCCTACATGTTTCTACATGACAACAACTCGTCTGACAGTCTGACCTTTGACAGGTGTGCAGAATAAACATTAGAAAAGAATGACCTGCTCTAAATTTAGGTGTTTGATGAAAACGGATTTCTGAGCTACAATATCTCATTAAGTTGAATGGAATTTTTTGCCACTTGTCCAGAGTCGCAACAGTCACTATGAGCGTTTAATGCGGTGCATGGCTAGGTCAACGGTGTTGTTTTACAGTGTAAAATATACATACAAATGTAAAACAATGTTCAGGTTCAGGTGGAATTGATAGCAAGAGTGGGTTTAAGTATCAGCTACAATAATGAATAAAGAATATGAATAATAATAGTTGTTCTTACCAGCACTCATGGATAAGCCTCCGCAGCCACGGACACAGGCCTGCAAAGTAACACAGGCCAATGATCACTGTGTCAAATGAATTTTTTTTTTCTCCCTGCTACTGCATTTGGTGAAAATTTTACCAAATGTACTTCTGTTGGGGTTTGCAATGTTTACCAGTGAATAGGATGTGAGACAGAGTATAGTTACCTTTCTGGGACTGATTTGTCTGTTTGTTTCTGGTCTTGTTCAAGCCTGTGAACAAAAAAGAAAATTAGAGTGTAAAGTGTAAAGGAAAGTGTACAGGGCTAGAAGCATCTTGACTGATTTCTTTTATAATTACACACTGTGTAATAACAGCAATAGTAAAAAAAAAGCCTCTGTAATTGTTTTCAATCTGTTGTCGCGTGAGTGCTCATCACAGTACCGGTGATTGTAATTAAAAGTAGACTACAGTGTTTCAGGTGCAGCAATCCTGATTAGTGCAGCTCTTCTTACTCCAAATGCAGTTCATGAAAGGCTTAATAGCTTTCTGAAAACTTGATTTAGTTAAACAAATACTTTTTAAAAAACACATGTATTTGTCCATTTTCCAAATGTATTACCTTTTTTCCGAAGTTCAAGACTATACAAAAGAAAGAAAACTATATTGGTGCATTTTATGTAATTATGTGCTTATACAGTAAGATTAAAATGATAGGTCTGTATTATACTTTTTAAAGTCTTCAGGTGTAAATGGGAAACTTAGTCTATATTACTTTCGGAGCAACTCTCATCTATAATTACTTCCAGTCTAATCATGTTACACATTTAACTGGTGTAGCATTGGAAGTCTTGCCCAGGGACTCTTGGTTCTTTTCCGAGCAGAGAATCAAACTCTGGTCTTCTGGGTGGAGGGCAGTAGAGTTATTATATTAATTTATATTTGTGGCATGCACACGTCTCCTGGGCCCCATTGATGGCTGCGAGAGCTGCCAGGAAGGTGGGGCCCAAACCCCGAGCCTAGAAGAAACTCCGCAAAGACAGTGGGGAGAGGATTAAATCCACAAGGGAGTGGTGGACGGTGCGCAAGTCCCGAGCCCCGCCTCATATATACGTATATATGTATATAAACATGTATATACACACACATATGTACATAGTTACCTGTGTTATTGTACTGTACAGAACCGCATGACTATTCTCAACATTAAAATGAGTGCAGATGTATAAAATGATAGCAAAACTCCTGGAGAGTTTTGTGCTGCATTTGAGATTCTATGAACACTTTTGCTGTCATATTTTATGCCCCGTGGAAGCCCGTAAGAGAGAACCTTTGTGCTGTATCTTACTGTAGAAGCACACAATAAAAAAAGAGGAAATGAAATACTGTCTTAGGTAAAGTGTTGGTCAGTTGCTTTGTGCAGGACTGCTCAGTGCTGCAAACTTCCAAACCGGGAGTGAAAAGGCTGAATTTGTGTGCTTGTGTTTGAGTGGTGAGCTGGGGGTGGAGGGTTCATGGCCTCTTGTAAAGGCCAGTGGACACTTGAGCAGCACTTGAGAGTTTGCTGACCCATAAACCCCTGCGGTTTTACCTTTCTGTCTGGGTCTTGAGGCGCTCCTCATCGTACCTAAGGAAAGCAGAGACGTGCCCAGTTATCACACCGACACACACTGGCCTCAGCTCCCCTCAACACTACAGCATTGTGCTGACTGAAACCTGACACCTGCACCGGCATGCCTTCACACAACATTTCTTTGTGGCTTTCTAAGACAGAGGTCATTCAGATTTGTTTAAAAATAGATTTTTCTAGGTATTTTTTCTAAGTATTATCCAAATGTATAATATATAATTTATAATAAAGTGACAATGTAGCAGTGAAGCACTTTAACAATGAATTAAAACTTGTTTGGACCAGTAAGCATGATATCATTGGCATAATGGCCTTTAAGTCATTCATTATTATCCACAGATGTTCATCAGTGAGGATATACACTGGAGAAGGACTGCTGAATGTCCAATAAGGCCAAAGAAATTCATTCATTCATTTAAAATATTGCATAAAATATACCCTGTGAACTCTGTCATTCCCAAATAGCTTTTTCTCCTTTAGTGGATCTGTGTATGAATCGTTTTTGTTTATTTTTATATTTGTATATAAGAGATAAGATAACTGATAGATTCTGGTGTAACTTCTGTGCTCACCTTTTTAATCCTGCCAAAGTTATTTACTCTTAAACTCAAAGAAATCTGTTACTATGATAATATCACTGATGAGCCCCTGTGTTTTTCACTGTAACATTGCTGATAAGCTAAATTCTTTATTCACAAACAAAAGTTTGCAAACTCTTAATCAACCCAGTCCATCATCTTAATAGAATTTGAATCACTTCTCCAATCCTTATGTCTTATTAACTAAGAAAAGCAACCGATTTTTGAATTATTAGTTATTTTGGTCATTATATTTCTCTCTTCACTTACTAATTACTACTTGAACTAATAACAATGATGCATTTATTATACATGACATGCAGCTCGAACTGCTTCACAAAGTAAAAAAAATGCACTGAAAAACCTTTGTGTCTTAAAAAAGCAAGTAACTGTGTTGTAATAAAAACTTTGAGTTCATTGACCTTAAAATGATAAGTTACAAAAATATGTGCTCTGTTGACTTATTAGTTAAAGCTAAATTAATTTACATTTTTATTGCTGCAAAAATACTTGTTTAACTTAAAACATCCAAAAATATTTTTACAGAAGGGACTAAAACTTTGAAAAATATGAGGCTTATCATCTTATATAAAGCCAATTTTTTTATTATTAGTTATTAGTTCTCAGAGTAACATTAGTTCTTATGGGTCTGTACAAATAGAAAAAATAAAATTTATCAAGGTAGACTAAAACTTTGTATTTATACTGAGCATCCGGTGATGAGTTTGGTTGTATTTAATAGATATTTAGTTGAATGTTACTTACCCAAACCTTAAGCTTAACTTTACACACAAACCAGAACCTAAACCTAACCCTCACCCTGGTCCTAAACCTATTCTCTCATACTAATCTTAAGCCTAACACCAACACTCTTGAGTTTCAGCACATAGTTGTTAATAATGTGAACATCTACAGATAATTTATCCAAATAATGTGGTAGCAAAACAGATTGAATAATATTCCATAACACAGGTAAACAAACAAATATTTTTAATCGCACTGGCCAGCCGAATTCACAGCACAAATAAACAAAGACTACAGTGAGCCTCAGAAGTTAGCCTACATATTGATATAAATAAAGTCACTGGACATTTTAGACTTAAGCAACGTTACTGTGTAAACAGCGTTATTCACTTTATTCAGTTTTAGAACAGTGTTATGTTGCTCCCTTTACTTAATTCCTCAGAACTGTGCTAGCGAAAGTTTCTGTCCACCTTCAAAGTGTTTATTGTCTCAACAGCTCCCCTTGCTGGTGGGATGTACTCACTGCAGCACACACTCTGGAATCTGCACATGCTCCATGGGGACAATCTGAGCCAGCTCCTCCAGACTCTGCACATAGCGGATCTTATCCAGGAACTTCACACTGCAGTCAGAGAGGAGCAGTAAGTAACGATGCTTACCTAATCAAAATAATGACACATCTACAGCAATGCTGAAAAGACAGATCATATTACTCACACCCTATTTCTTCTTACCTGATGAAAGGCCGAGAAATGGCCAGAACAGTCCGAATGAACCAGGATGGGTGCGCAATGATCAGGCATTTGAGGTTCTTCCTTAACCTTGCAATAAATGCAATACAATAACATGTCAGTATAATCAACATGCAGAACACACATTTAGATATGCAAGAACAGATCCTTTCACCTGCTTCATTAAACAATGTGGTGTACGATATGCTACAGTGAAAGCCATACTAATGTAAAGGTAAAGCATTCAGGTATTGATATTACTACCTTCTATCGATCATCTGGTAGCATCTCTTGAGCCAGCTGATGCCGGGCATTCTCCTGCGCGGAGTGGCTCCATTCAGGTAGATGATCATGTAGTCTTCAGCTACTAGCAACTCCAAACTGCTAATGACATACCTGTCACAGACATGGGAATATACAGATGTGTCTAAAACCAACACATCAGCACCAATACACTATTCACGTCTTCCTTGAAAGCCTGTTCAGCACACAAAAGGAACAATGAATCAGCAGGTTAAAGAACTGGTGACTTTTTTTTGGATTTGCAAGATAAACATTGCTGTTATTTATTAAAACTGAGTTACACTAGCATGTATAATAGCATACTATAATAACAAGACTGACTATACTACACTCTTAAAAAAATCTTTAGTAAAGAGAATAGTTATATCTAGAACCATATGTTAGAGCCATCTCATACTAAATGGTTCTTTACATGGTGATTCTGCAGTTCTTGATGGAGAATGAATGTAGTTCTATGTAGCAACTAAAAGCGCTCGTCTATTATTGCAAGCTTGACATCACAACAAAACCTTTTTGGTGCTATATAGAACCTTTTTTCAAAAATGTTCTACATAGAACAATATGCAGCACATTCTGCATTCTATATAGAAGAATTCTATATAGAATTCAGGGTTCTGTACAGAACCATCCACTTTACTAAAGAACCATTGAAGAAGCATCACTTTTAAGAGAGTAGCACATACTTTTCTGCATTCTTACCAAAAGTGCTGGTGATAAATCATCTACACTGGTATTGGTGTCATACAGCAATATTAATTTTCAGTTTTAGAGAAACTTAGTCAATTGCAGTGTCTGTTCTTTGCTGGATGCTTCTAATTGTTTTGAAACAATGATTTAAAATACATGAAACTAAATAAATAACAAGTTTGCTTTCTAGAAATGTAGCTTCTGTCTGATTAATACTGTGTGAGGCTCCTTCTCTTGTAATTTAAGAGGAAAAAACAGAACAAAACAATCTAATCAAAACAAGTAATGCCAGACTTTTAGGATACTGGATTATATCCATACCTATGGAAGCCAATTCCTGCCAGGTAGAGAAGAAAAAACATTTTTTTTTCCTTCTCTGTTTCTGCCAGTAGTTTAGACTTAGTATCTTGAAAAAAAAAAGACATTTATCAAAATTATGACTTCACATGTCAAAATAATCACTTATTTTCTCAAAATATTGGCTTAGTGTGTTGAAACAATGGCTTATTTTCTTCACATATTGACTTATTATCCTAAAATAATTACTTACAGTGCTGCTTGAAAGTTTCAGAATCATAATCACTTCATTTCGCCAAGTGTGTTACACATACAAGGAATTTGTCTTGGTGAGTGCCCACACGTGTGACATGTAACATACTAAACAGATCAGACAAGCAAACAGACTGTTAACATGTATTTAACTAAGAGAGAACCTATTTTAAAAATGTAATAAATAGAATAAAGAATAATAAATAATGAATAAATATCTGTACGTATGCAGGTCTGTGTAAACATATTCTAGATGTTTGCCTGATTGTGGACTCATGAACGCCGTCATTATCCAGTGTAAGAGAGGCCTGCAGATCCTTAGATGTCACCCTGGGGTTCGTTGTGATCTAGAATATTCTACGCCTTAATCTTGAAGTCATTTTTGTTGGATGACCTCTCCAGGAAAGGGTAACACTGGTGGTGAATTTCCTCTGTTTGTACACTATCTGCCTGACAGGCAGTGAAGTCCAAACTCTTCGGAAATAGTATTGGAACCTGTTGCAGCCTCACGAGCACTGGCAACTGATTTTCTGAGGTCTGAGTTGATTGAGAAATGGCATACACTGACAAAGAAGAGACTTTGATGGTGAGGATTCAGGTTAATGTTTTTATTAATTGAGTAGGATCAGCCACACTCACATCTGATCATCATCCAATTGACTGAACCCCCTGACCCTAATTCTGGCCTATACCAACCTGATAATTCTAGAGGTTCACATGCTTTTGTCAACAAAGACATTTAACATTGGATCACTTTGTTCTATAAATGAATGAAAAACTATATCATTGTTTGTGTTGTTTGTTTAATTGGGTTCTCTTTATCTACTGTTGTGACTTAAATGAAGATCTCATCATATTTTAGGCCACATTTATGTAAAAAATCACAAAATGGTTTACAAGGGTTCACAAACACATTTTTGATATGTAATAACTGATTATTTTAGCATTGCAGTAGCATAATAATCTTGAGTTATTATTTTGACTAAACAAGTGAATATCATGAGAACGTAAGTCATTGTTTGAAGAGTTTCATTGAAAAAGGCCGCATATCCAAACAAGAACAGATTTAAAAAGAATAACTGCAGATTTAAAAAGAATAACTGCTAATTTTGTTGTCCCCTGACAACGAAATCATAAAAAAGAAAATGAATGAAAATGATATTTATTGTGTTTCTGAACAAACCCCGTCTATTTGAAGTCAATATTTTGATAACGTATGGTATTAAAATAAGTCAATAAGTCAAGAAAAAACTCAAAAACTCTTTTTTGTCCTCTACCTGGCGAGAATAGGCTTCTACAAATACAACCCAGCACAACAACAGTGACCCTACTCTCCACCAGCTGTACACAGAAAATCACTGTAGTTAAATGAACTCTTGACAGTGGTCATTCACTTCCAGCTGGCATCATCTTAAGTGTTAATTCAGCACTTATGATGCTAATGTGTAACATCAGGTGAGTGTTCTAAATGAATTTGCACTGAAGGCTGTACTGACTTGTTGGATGTGGCAGCCAAAAGTGGTACATCTCCAGTATAAAGTGTGTTTTGGCTGCCTGTGTGGGTGTTTGGGAACCAGTTTGTCTTACAAGAAGAGATTCTCCATGATGTAATGGTAGTCTGTGCAGCCGCTGTCGGGGAGGTAGCAGGCCGCAAACACGATGATGGCATTCAGGCCTTCTCCATAATAACCTGTAGAAAAGAACAAGGGTATCTGGTTAGTTGAATTGGAATTTGTTTCTAATGGCTTGTCATGTGAATTCATATCACCAGGGGGCAACATAAGTGAATTTGCTGGCCTTCCATTGCACATGGCAACTGTGCCCTTGAACTCAACACTAGACTCAGTATTGTGGGTATGTAACACTACACTCCACTTTACACTCTGGGTTAAAATGACAGCAACCTTTAGTGTTTAAACAATGCAAATGCTTTAGATGGCATAATTTGAATTGCAGTGTATTGTGTTGTGATGTATTTTTGAACCCCTAGCATGACAATGTTGAATCACAGGTCGCAGTGATGACTAGCTTGTTCATTAAAAAAATAACTAGCATGTTAGTAAGAAAAACCCCATATTCAGACATTCTAGGCTAGTCTGGGTTAACTTAGCTAACTAATTCTTAAGATCACTACAGGTACACAGAAAGATGGGGGTGCTGAGGGTACTGTGTGTACTGTTTAAATTAATGCTGCATTTTCATTACAGCATGATGAATTGCTTCCCTTGCAAACTGTAGTCCACTTTAGGGGCATGTCACTAAAACACAAGCATGTTTAGAGTCCAGAGTTACACTATGGGCAGAGTTTTAGGTGAGCTGTGCCCTGAAGGGGCCTAATGTTGTGTTTATCCTTTAAAAAGTGACATAATGTAATAATGCGCCGTCCCCTGCTCAAGTGTGCATTCAAGTGTTAAATCAGTGTGTAGCTAGAATATATGAGCCTGACAAAATTAACCACACTACATACCTGCAACCTGATTTGTTGCCATTCAGCTCATTTGCATAAAGTTTGTCCAGAAGGAAATATGGTTGTCTCTTGCCTCATTATAGCAGATAAATTATCCAAAAAATTCAAATGGAAATGTAAATTCATTTATGAAATGTCACATATATGCTGCTTAAAACTGTAGTACCACCAATTTAAAACATCTTACTGTAACCCTGGGACACTATTACATCCCTATGACTGCGCCAAAAAATTCACTATGAAAAAAAATGTTGATCTTCAGGAGACATGCACTGCATACAACCATTTAATGCTGACTTACATCAGAAAAAAACAACCTAAATTGGCAGCCACAGCTACCTTTGGTGTTCAAACAATGCAAATGCATAAAATGGCATAATTTGGATTGCAATTTATTGTTTCACGATGTATTTTTGCCTCCCAAGTATGGCAATATGGAATGGCAGACGTGTCTCCGCTAGCACTGCTGACAGGTGCAGGTTAGGTTATGTAAAATGAACATTGTCTGAAGGTACTAATGTTAGCTTACTGTGTCTGTAATTGCAAATTTTAAAGGTTAGATACATTTAAAGTGAAGCTATGGATAATCTAGAGGGATCGGTGTTGGGGTAATACAGTACAAAGCAACATGTTACACTAATAAAATTACAGTTTTTATTGTATTGTTGTTCAAATTCTTGTAAATTTAATTCTCAGCCAGTTTGCATTGTTTTCCATGCAATTACTGAATAATAAGACTTAGTATGCCTAGTATTTTAAGGGATTAAATGATGTTTTCTGTGATGGCTATTTAGACTGAACAGTACTGAAAAGACTATTGACTATTAAACCTTACAGCTAGTACAGATGTGTATGGGTTTTAAAGAGTAACTTAGAAGTAATGAGTAGTGAGATTACAAATCAAATAATTACTATTATTATTTTATAAGAAGTAATATGTAAAATAGTCTCATTGCAGTTTAAGAGAAATAATCATTTGTAATGAATTGCTTGATAAACAACTCCACACTGAAAAGGACAAATCTCAATCAATATAATTATGTTAAGCTCACGGGAATCCCTGGAGGCCAGGGGCCTGATCTGCTGCCCCTAACAACTATTGGGCTAATACATCCCTCCCCTCACAGTTATGATGGCACAGCAGATCTTATGGATGATTAGCATGTTTGGGTGAACAGTTCCGTTATTCTACCCACCACCAAAAGCTCTACTAGAGCGTTTGTATTAAAACTCAAACTGAGTAGAAAATACTTATACTGATATATTTATAGTCATAACTAGTTTTATTACACCCTAAAACTAGCTAACATTGCTGATAATTAGTGAAGTTTACATTGTGCTAATTCCCATGCTTTTATTCATTCATACATTGTGCAACCTAATTCATAGTATATTATAAATCTTCATAATATACTCCAAAGCATCCACCTACATTACATCATACTTCATTATATCCCACTTTTCACATACTTTTGGGGCAGTCGTGGGCTGGAGGTTAGGGAACCAGCCTTGTGACCGGAAAGTCGCCGGTTCGATCCCCCTGGCTGACAGTATGTGACTGAAGTGCCCTTGAGCAATGCATCTAACCCCCAACTGCTCCCCAGGCGCCATGGATAGGGCTGCCCACCACCCTGGGCAAGTGTGCTCACTGCCCCCTAGTGTGTGTGGGTGTTCACTAGTGTGTTTGTGGTATTTCACTGCATGGATGGGTTAAATGCAGAGGTCTAATTCCAATGTGTTCAGATACAGTTGGCTAAAAAGGTTCGGTTCATTTCATTTCATCAGCATCTTGGTTGAGATGTGGCAATAACTAGTCATTCCTTTATTCACTGGAGAGGATTAAGTCTTTTTGGCTGTGGGGCCCAAATAATGTAGTTATGCTACTGTTTCCATTATTCTGCCTATCACCAGAAGTCTTCACTGACCTCCATGAGTGACCACTCGCAGATAGGGCCTGATGACCTGCATGTCTATCCGGTGCTCCTTATCCCCGATGATCACAGTCCTCCACAGACGTCCTGACCCCTCTCCCTCCTCGCCCCCTTGTCCTGAACCATCACTCGGGCCTCCTTTAGCACACGCCACCGGGGTGTCATCTGTGGGAGAGCCGTCATAATTTGAATGTCAAAAGTAAAAAAAATGCTGTGGGGGCTCAGAAAAGTCCAATTGCGATTGACACCTCTGATACAAATGTGGCCTGTTTACAATTAGAGCATGAAAAAACAAGCACAAGAACTGAGTAGAATATAGTTTCACTCCATAGAAATGTAACATTATTACTGTGTTAAGTGGTGCCAGATTTAAATAATGACTAACTAAAACAATTAAACACAATAATTTTATCATCATTGTGACAAATTATGTCCTGATTTGTTTCTTTTTGCCACATCGGCCACCGACTAATTAAGTAACAATATCAGCCATTTAATCTAATTAAACAGGACTAATTATGCTCTTTGTATTGAAACAATGCAGTTGTTCTGTGTTCTTTTAGTGCTGATTATATCCTTTATATGCTCAGAAAGGTATAACGTAGTGTAATTTATTGTTCTGCTGCACTACTTTATCATTATTTAAATGCAACTACAAAATAAATTACAGGTAATCATGTAACAAATTAGATTTACATTTGATTTGCATTCTATATGGACAGGTTTGAGTTTACTCTTTTTTTAATGATAAAAAAATGGCAATTTTTTTCTATAAAAAAGACGAAAGCTTTCTCTCAAACTCAAAACGCAAAAAATATATCTTCTTCTACTTATGAACATGTATGAATGTGGAATCAAATCTAAAATCTGCAGGAATCCATTTTTCCATCTGTCCGTGCAGTGTTTCCTGTGCCTCACAACTCCAAAGCATACCAGATACATGCTCATCAAATGCTGCTCCTTTTGTCTTCAAACATGCCTTTGAAGATTGTGGCCAAAGAGTGTGATTTTTACTCCATCAGTCCAGGGCACTTGTGTCCAATATCTAGATGTTGTTTTGCATACTTCAGATATAGATTTTTCTGATGAGTGCATAGGTTTTCTTCTGATGACTCCTCCATGCAGATCATGTTTGAGCGAGCACGACCACTCCTATGTCAGCTACACATTCCTGCAGATTGTTGCTGTCATATAGGGGTTTTACTTTGCCTTTTTGGCCAGCATATGAGCAGTGCTATTTGAGAGGAATTAAATGAAAGTCTAGAGTCTGCAGTTTTAACAGGAATTCTCTGCTTGATTCAATGAACTCAGAGTGAGAAATTATTAATATAAAATCCCATCATGCTTTGGTAATGACAGCAACTTTTAAGGGTTATCCAGCATAACCAAAAAAGTCATATGCCACAAAACATTCATATATATCTGTCAATTCTTCTATTGTGTGGAGAAAACTCAATGCTATGGGTCTGAAAGGATGTGTAGCTGTCAAGATGCCATTACGGAGGAAAGGAAATAGACAAAAAAGAAGTTGCTGGTGTTCTCTAAACAGTGGACTGACCATCCCAGAGTCCAGACCTCAACATCCCTGAATGTGTTTGGGATTGCTTTGATTGTAAGAAGCGGAAAATGCAACCAGCTTCTTAGACTAAAGTTTGGAGATGTGGAAAAACATCCCTGCAGATTTCTTTGACAAAATCAAGCAAGTCTCCTGAAAATAATGGAAACTGTAATAAAGGCAAAAAGTGGACACACAAAATACTGAAAAAATTAGTTCAGTTATTGATGCATCTGTGTAACTTCCTATTAAATGTATGTTTTCTGCTTATGCTGAAAAATGAATATCTTGTCCTTAATGGCTGTTTTGACTAGTAAATAAATAAATGACAAGTGGTCTTTCTTATTTGCACATATATTATCGTAAAGGTCATACATTTCTACATGTTCATAATATGAAATCACCTCAGGGGAGTAGTGGGCCTTATTTTAGGCTGCTGTAGAATCAATTCCATACATGTACATACACATGAACACACATAGGGCATGCATGACCTCCATAAAGGTTAAAGACCCAGCTCTCTGTACAGGAGCAGCTCTGTTTACATGGGCCTCAGGCTGGCGAGACTGGTCCTGTGGAACCATGTGATCATGTTATGTTTTTGTTTTTGCATGTAGTGGACGTTTCGACAGTGTTGCTGTTGTGACCTGCTATTTTCAACCTTGTTTATATGTGTCAGAAAAAACGGAGTCTGTTTTAGAATGCCCTTTGACATTGTACTGACCTTCCCACTCCAGCTCGTTGCCATTGGTGATGAACTCCAGCGAATCAGTTTCGTCTGGTGTGTCAATGTCATCTACGTTGATGTCCAGGTCGTCAGGTGTGTCCAGGAAGTCATCTGAGAGGATGGACCCTTCACTCTGGTCCAGAGACAGGTTAATGTCTGGGGCGACCAGCGTCCGGCGCTTCCTTTGTGCTGCTGAGCCTCCATGGCCTCCATGCAGGGAGCCAGGAGGTGCTGAAACAGAATAAAACAGGGTGCAGTTTACATTTTAATTGTTTTAAAACTGTAAAAACAAAAACTTCATACTGATTAAGACCTACAGTCAGTGGATCATGGAACTGAACTTTTACTGTGATCTTACTTTGATTTCTCATTCTGAATGTACACTGTGGTGCCAGTATAGCATCTAACAAGTGACTTGTTAGCAGGTCCTCTTAACTCTTACAAAAGGCATTGACTGCAACCATCTTGCATGCACACCATGTTTAAGATCTATCCACAAATTTTCAATGATGTTGAAGACTGCGTTTCTTGCAGTAATTAATAGTGGATTTTGAGAGATGTTTTGAATCACTGCCCTGTTGTCAGCCTCTTTTCAGCTTCAGCTCCTTGACTGACTGTGTCACATTTGTGTCCAGACAACCACAAAGCTTAATAGATACACCTCCATGCTTAACATATGGCAAGGTGTTCTTTTCATCAAATGCTGCTCCTTTTTTACACAAGCATATCTCTGGTAATTGTGGCCAAAGAGATCCATATTTACTTCATCAGTCCATACCACCTGTCTCCAATATGCCTCTGGCTCATCTAGATGTCTTTTGCATACTTCATACGTTTTCCCTTTTGTGATTAGGTTGCAGGGACAGTTTCCTTCTTTCCTCTTTAATGCAGATCATGTTTGTGCAAGCAATGCTGCATAGCAGAACAGCCCACCAACACTTGTACCAGTGAAACCTTCCTGAAGGTTGTTTGTTGTGATATGGAGGTTTTACTTTACTTAGAGCTGGAGTTTTTTGTGAAATGGCCATTTTGTCATCAGCAGGACATTCAACCCTGTTTCCAAAAAAGTTGGGATGCTAGGCAAAATGTAAATAAAAATTTCAGTGATGGGCAAATCATTCAAACATTTAAACATTTCATTTAAAATAGTACCAAGACAACATATCAAATGTTGAAACTGTGAAGTTTTTCTGTTTTTTTGAAAAATATAATCTCATTTTGAATTTGATGCCAGCAGTATATTTCAAAAAAGCTGGGACAGTGACAACAGAAGACTGGTAAAGATGTGTAATGCTAAAAAATCTCACAACTAATTAGGTTAATTGGCAAATTGTCAGTAACATGATTGGGTTTAAAAAGAACATCTCAGCCTTTCAGAAGTAGAGTTGGGGAGGGGTTCACCACTCTGTGAAAATCTATGCAGACGAATAGTGCAACAATTCAAGAATAACGTTTCTCAACATGAAATAGCAAAGAACTTTGGGGATTTAAACATCTACAGTACATAATATCATTAAAAGCTTCAGAGAGTCTGGAGAAATCTCTGTATGTAAGGGACAAGGCCAAAAACCAATACTGGATGTGATCTTCGGTCCTTCAGGTGGCACTGCATTAAAAACAGATACAATTCTGTAGTGGAAATCACTGCATGGGCTCAGGAACACTTCCAAAAACCACTGTCTAAACCTCGTTGTATCCACAAAGGCAAGTTAAAACTCTACCATGCAAAGAAGAAACCATATGTAAACTGCATCCAGAAACTCTGCCGCCTTCTCTGTGTTCAAGCTCATGTAAGATGGACTGAGGGGAAGTGGAAAAGTGTCCTGTGGTCTGACAAATCAACATGTGAAATTTTTTGGAAATCATGGATGCCGCATTTTTCAGGCTAAAGAGGAGAGGAACCATCTGGCTTGTTATCAGTGCACAGTTCAAAATCCAGCATTCGTGATGGTATGAGGGTGCTTTAGTGCACATGGCATGGGTGACTTGCACATCTGTGAAGGCACCATTAATGTTGAATGATATACATACAGGCTTTGGAGCAACTTATACCACCATCCAGATGACATCTTTTTCAGGGATGGCTTTGCTTATTTCAGCAAGACAAAGTCAAACCATATTCTATGTGTATTACAACAGCATGGCTCTGTAGTAAAAGAGTCTGGGTGCTAAACTGACCTGCCTGCAGTCCAGATCTGTCACCCATTAAATAGCTTTGTTGCATTATGAAACGAAAAATACAACAAATGAGACCCCAAACTGTTGAGCAGCTGAAATCCTATATCAAGCAAGAACAGGAAAACATTTCACTTTCAAAACTACAGGTATTGGTCTCCTCAGTTCCCAAATGCTTACAGACTGTTGTTAACAGAGGAGGTGATGCAACACAGTGGTAAATGTGCCCCTGTCCCAACTTTTTTGAAACAGGTTGCAGGCATCAAATTAAAAATGGGCATGTATTTTTCAAAAAACAATAAAATTTCTCAGTTTCAATATTTGATATGTTGTCTTTGCACTATTTTCAATTAAATATAGAGTTTAAATGATCTGCACATCACTGCATTTTGTTTTTATTTACATTTTGCACAGCGTCCCAACTTTTTTGGAAACAGGATTGTACTTTGTAGTCCATTTTGGGAAATCTAATATAAAGAACACTGTTTCTGTCTTTTACTGTCAGTTAATTTGTATATAATTTGGCATGTTGCGCTGCACAAACTGTAATATGCAGCACCGGCATTTCACTGTTAACCGATATTTTTAATGCAAACAGCAGGGGGCAATCTAATCCCCTATAAGATCAGCTACATTTCACATTCAATAAAAATCAAACATGACCACAACATTTCAAAAGTAAAGAACCTCCACATGATGTAAAGGTTCTATACCAATTAAAGGTTACTATGTGCAAGGCAAGAACCTTTTTTTTAAAGTGTAGGTTACTGACGTGTGATTTTGGAGCTACTCACAAGTTCTGTTGTCAGTAAGGCCGTCTAAGTCTCCATCCTCTGGCAGAGGCCTGGATAGACACAGTGTGAAGAGACATTGCAGAATAAATCACTAAATTACACTGTGAAATGTGCAGCTTCAGCACAGATCCACAAATAAGCACAGCATTCCTCATCATTTCTGGAGGAACTGCTAATGCCAGCGAAAACCTCAGGGCAAGCTGTTTGGCACCGTGCTCTTTAGTTTGGAAAACCACAATGACATGTCATCCATTTTTAATGAAATAACTGTACTTTGTCTATGTGGTGCAAATTCGTATCCATTGTGCACTTATTCTCTGCCTCATTCAGAGCAGTGTTTCAGAAAGGCCTACAGTGGACGACCGGCTAAGTCAGCACAAAAACCATAGCACTATCCACCTTAGGAACAATAGATGTTTCCTGAAGAATGTATGTCTTTGGAAAGAAAACAGGCAATTACTGTATCACCCCTCAGCATCCCCAGTGTTGGTGTGTGTTTATAAGCATGTACAATAGGCTGCGGATTGTAGCCTCTGTCTCTGGGGACATGCACCCCTCTGTTCACTCCACTTGTTCTGTCACTCTGTAATTAGCAAGGTCTTAACCACTGTAATATCACAGCAAGGACTGTTTAATGATGGGGTACAAGGACACTTGTACTAGTGTCAGAGAAACAAGCAATAGAAACTGATAATTCAGATCAGAGAGATGTGCTATTCTTTACTAGGCTACTAGACAGGCATTACTAGGCCTGTACGTAGTAATTAGCTATGATAGCATGATGTTGCAAACTCTGTCAGCTCGGGTCAGCATTAAAAGAAAGGTACTTACTGCATTATTCATTATTCATGAAAAAAAAGATAATAGCACAATGTTGTATTCACTGACAGCTCAGGTCAGCATAAAAAGATGAGTGTTTACTGCATTAGAGACCTTTAAACAGAAAATGGCAATCAAAGTGTTTTGTTATTTCTATGTACTGGGGCATAAAATGCATAAATGCATGATAGTGCATCCATTTGAAGGTGGCAGTTTAACCCCTTCCCAGACTTATGGCATACTAAGGCTTATTATTCAGTAACTACATGGATTATGATGCAAACTAGCTGAGCTCTTCTTAGATTATAGAAGTGTGTAATGAAACTTTGGGCCCACAAGTGGACCTTGGCCATTTAAGGGGAAATCATATAATCAACTAAAAAAATATTCAATAATAAACAAGGAACTCTTTTTTTCTACATTCACTTTTTTTTATTTTTTTTTTAAACTTATTAATTTAAATTATTCCGAAACAATGGAATCAAAATGGTAAAACTAGAGATTTCATGATGTATTGAAATGTTGGTTATAAAAAGAAAGTTCTTGTTTGGTCCTAAAATCTGATCTGAGCCTTGTTTTGTATTAATGCTCTGTTAAATTATTTGCATTTATGACTGTTGACAGATGAGACCAGGCATCAGCATGTACAAGAGGTAAATGGTCCAAAACGTTACTTAACAAACCCTACTTAACAGAAAGCTTTAGTGGAAAATCTAATATACACAATTTTACATATACTCCAGATTTAGTCATTCCTCTGAGACGGATTTGGAGTCCAAATTTTGCTTCTTCAGTTTAAAACTGGAGTGGCAAGGTTAACATTGCCAACACTAGAACTCAATAGTCTCCCAAATAGCCAAAATCTTTTCTGGGAAAATATATCACCAAAACTTTTTTCAATCTCCTCAAACCAGGTCTTTGTTAAGGTTGTGCAGACTTGTTGACATGGTTTAGGGTATAGTGTAACTTACTGTGAGCTATAAAAATGGACACAGAAAACCTGAGAATCCAGATAACCATCTAAAAATATGAGATTTAGAAAAGGGAAAAGAAATGTGTTTTATGCTTATAGCTCTGATTTCTCTGACAATGTCCAGATTGTTATGACAAAGTGCCTTCACAGGCCCTCTAAGGACCACTGGCTCCCCCTCAGTATAGGCCTGGGGACCACCAAAGGGTGATTTGCAGCCCAGTGGTTGAGAAACCCTGCTTTACATCACATTGGCAAGTCTGTGTGACCTTAATGAAGACCTGGATGTGGATTGAAAGATGTTTTGGTGCTGTATTTTTACAGAAGTGATGTGGGCTATTTGGGTGACTACTGAGTTCTAGTGTTTGCTAACTGGAGCCACTTAGTCTAGTAGCTCCAGTTAGCAACATCGGCAATTTTAGTCTAATAGCTCCAGTTCTAAACCATAGGAAACAAAATTTGGACTCCAAACATGGATCAATGTGTTGGCTGATTAAGATGTGTGATACCATTTGTTCGATGCTATCAAAACACAGGAAAAAGAGGAGCTAGCAGAAAATAGCATTTATAATGTTTGCAATTATATGACAAAAGTTTATGAAAAGACTCCTATAATGTAATGATTGATGATGGTCGCTTGGCAATGAAAGCCTTCTTGAATCTCCATTTCTTGGTAGAAATCTTCATTTCTGGAAATTTGTTTATTGTGATTATTATTAATATCAAATTATTTATTGAATATATGGATATTTTATCATATTGTGTGTTGTCACCATTTTATAAAAGCAAGCTAAGCCATGCATGTAGTGTGTTAACCTCGGTTAACATGGTATTTTTAAAGGACCCATATGGAAAACTGACATATCTAACTTTTTTAAAATAACAGAGATTGATCTGGTATGTAAACAGTGTTAGTTTCAAAACATAGCATTCACTCCCCAGTCTATACATGGACACTAAGCTGTAAAATAGCCAGTTTTGAATTGATTGTTTTCGTGATGAATGCTTAACTAATGTAGCTTTCGTGGTGTAGCTAAAACTAATTTACATCTCAGCTCTACTCAGCTTACAGCAGTTTAGCTCCACCCATTTATCTCACTGAAGTTATAAGGAGTGTTTCATTCCAGGCTCCTTTTTGAGTGAGGCACAATACAGGGCAACTAATCAGAACAGAGCTCATTTACATATATCAGTCTTAAAGTCAAATCAAAATAGCCTGTTTAATTCTAAAGGATAATAAGAGGTTGGATGATGATCATATATCATTGTGTGGTCAGTTAACACAACTATGACACACCCTTATTCTATAAACTAAAAAAGTTGATAATATAGCATAATTATGAACTATAATAGTGAAGTGAAGACTCATCTGTGGACTTAATTTTAGCACTTAAATGAATTCTTGGCCCATTATCACAGAATGTATGAGGTTTCAGCAGAATCTATTTCATTTCTAAAATGTGTGATGAAGACACGTCTGCAGGCACTAATGGATTAAATCAATCCTAAAGACATATTAATTCATTTCTTCTTGTGACCCGCTTTTGCCTCTTGGTACATTCTTTGCATTCTCACCAGTTTGTTGGCTGTTGTGGGGAAATGTCATCACTCGATGACCTCATCTATGACTATAAACTATAATGCATGTCCAACTTCATACAACACTGCTCATCCACTTCCTCCATGTGTTTACAGAGGCTTACGGCAATGCTGCAAGCTTTTAGCATCCTCCTTTCTGCTCATGTGACCCAGAAGATCGCCTGACTCCAGCCTCATTACACTACAGTACACGTGCCCTGTCCACCTCACTTACATTATGAATCACATGTTTCGGATTCTGTTTTCATTAATTACACGTTCTAGGCTAACAACAGTATTAGTTTATGTCACGGTGGCTGTTTTGGACAATATTTCACAATGTTGAAATACAAAAGTAGCAACCTGAAAAACATGACTCATGTTCTAAAACACCTCTCTCTGCCTGCAGAAATGGATTTCGTGGATGAGTCATATGAGAAACTCATGAATATTCTCATGACTAAGATCCTTCCTTATCTTTCCTACATGCAGTTTTTAGTTAGTTTAGTTTAGTTTCTTGCTATGAGCGGTACAATTTGTATGCAAAAGTGAACAGGGGGTCAAATTACATGTTATGTTGATTTTCTAAGTGAAAATAAGTTAACACATCTTCTACAGTGAACAGAGTTTAATATGGCATTTTCTACAAATATCAGTGCACAATTTCTGTTTATTTGCTGTGTTTAACATACTGGAAAAAAAATTAAATGTAAAATATATTATGTGCCATAACTTTTGCACAGGCCACATTTAATGTTTTATTTTTCCCACTATGTTAAATACAGCAAATAAACAATAATTGTTTAATTAAAATGTGCAGAAGTGTGTTCTCTGTGAAGAATGTGTTAACCCCTAAATGGCCAGGAACCCCCAGCAGGCCAAAAATGTTATTATACACCTCTATAATCAAAGGAAAGCTCAGCCCGTTTGCATTGATGTCCCTGCAGTTACTAAATAATAAGACTTAGTATGTAATAAGCCTGGGATTTTAAGGGGTTAATTTATTGTTAACTGAAAAATGACCAAAACATGCAATTTGTCAAGGGGTGGGCAAACTTTTGTATATAACTGTGCATGCATATTAATGCATAATTAATTGGGTTGTGTGAGGACTTCTGAATGAGGTGCTGCTTTGAGACTCCAAGTGATTAAAAATGGCTCTGCTTGGCCACTTTATGAGGTTCACTATATACAGTATGTGTTCAGTCACAGACTGCAGCCCATATGTTTTCATGTGCAAATTGATGTTTCTAATAAAGTGGGCACTGAGTGCAGAGTGCAATAATACATGTAATAATACTAATAATACTGGTGCAGGTCTTGTGCTATGAAGGAATCTGTAATGTCATCATAGATTTGAAGCATTTACTTTGTGCTGTTTTGGACCAGTACCCATTCTGTGAAGATCTGTAAGGAAGTTAAAGTTAAAATAAGTTTAAATATTTTCCTGATACGTTTTCTGATATAAAATAGCAGTGTCCATCGAGTGTCAGGTTGCCACATCAGCTAAAATTATAGCTAGGATTAAATCAAGTCATTCAGTGTTATGAGTGCTACTGAAGAGCCAGCATAACAGCCAACAGTGTAATACAGCCATAGGCTCTTCTGGGTCATTGGATGATAGCATCAGTTCAAACATCTGCCCTCCTAATGTTTAACCCGAATTGCCATCAGTGACCTTAAGCAAACTTAAGTGTTTCCAGCTAACTTAAGTGTCAGCAGAACTGAAATTTCTGGAGCATGCTCTTACCGAGGGAAGTCTTCATCCTGCCACTCATCCTTCACCTCCAGGTTTTCCATGCGGAGAGTGGCCTCTGTCGTGCCCATTCCCCTGTCTGGAGGCTCAGCCAGGCCGCACTGCAACACACACAACAAGTCTGGTGCCCTTAAAGTCTTCATCAACAGTTCAGCATTGATTCAACTTTGAAATTCATGGAACTAAATTTTAAGGTGATGAAAAAATGGCTGCTGGAACTGTATGTAATAGATGGAGGTGTAGTCTGCAATTAGACTAAAGCCAATGCAGGCTTACTGTAAAGAAACATGGCTGAGGTCTAGGTTTGGACTTGCAATACCAGCAGTGATTCACCACCAAAAAATCCTTCTCAGTCTAGGCTTTGACTTAATTTATGTCTGGGAAACAAGCCCACTGGTTATGTTTCATAATACACATCCATGACAATCTCTACTATAGCTTTTACATCAGCATTGTAAAAAGTCTGACTAATTACAATAATAGTATTTATTGAGTCCTTTCACAATAAGTCTAATGCATATGGTACAGTCGGATACCACACTTCACTTAGTTCATTTCTAATCAAAACGGCCAGTAAGTTATTAATTTTTTTTAGTGTCAGAAAATGTCAGTGATGTTCAGGTCTGGTCTCTGGGGTGGCCAGTCCATTGTTCTGAGAACACCAGAAGCTTCTTTGTTTGCTTTGCAAGTTTTCTTCTTTTTGTCCATTTTCTCTTCTCTGTAACAGCTTCTTGACAGCTGCACATCCTTTCAGACCCATAGCATTAAGTTGTCTTCTCACAGTGGAAGGATGGAAGGAAACTCCTGTGGATTTTTCGGATCTGAAGCAAAAGTAGAGCTTGATTTTCTCCTCTCTCTCAAAGACGAAAGCTTTAAGTACTGCTTATCTGATGGTGACAGTTTTGGTGAAAAATGACCAACGTGTAGTTAATGGCCGTTTTGATTTGGAAATAAATAAATAAATAATGTTCTCTGGCTTTTGTACAGTACCATAGATCACAATTATGGTTAACAGTAGCACAGAGTCATTTGTGGTGGATATCTATCAGCAAATATTTGAATGTTGCTCCCCCAAAGCTACCAACAGATATGAATAAGGAACAAGCCTAACACTGGTCTGAGAATGAGTCATTCTGGCCATGCAAAACAGTGGTTCACAGTCCATTAGTTCAGTCCACATCAGTGGTTCTGATGTTGCTTATGGCTACATGACTTGGATCATGTGGAAATGGAATAATAAGTAAGTACAATGCCTCAGGCTTTATAAAGAAAATAGCTTCAGCCCACAGCCAAATATTTTGATATTAATAAACCTGGTATTGATATAGTCTTGTTATAGTCCTCATAGCAGGAAATAACTCAAAAGTGTTTGAGTGAGTAACAGTGAAACAAGCATTGACACAAATTGTCATTAAATGAAGTTTTTGAGATATTGCAAACAATTCTTTTCCACTAAGCATCTTCACACTGTTGTGATAGTTCAGTGAAAAATCTAATTTTCACTCTTACCCAAATGTGTAGTGCCTATAAAAAGTATTCACCCCTTAGAGGATTTCATGTATTATTTCAAAGAACTTGAATCACAGCAGATTTAACTAGGTTTTTTTCCACACTAATCAACAGAAACAAACTCTTTCATGTGAAAGTGAAGACAGATCTCTGCAAAATGATATAAATTAATTCCAAATTTAAAACACAAAGTATCTGATTGTATTCACCCCCATCAATTCAGTATTTAGCAGATACACCTTTGGCAGCAATCACAGCATCTGTGTGGATAGGTTGTTATCAGCTTTGCACATCAAGCTCTGTCAGGTTGCATGGGGATTGTGAGAAAACAGGCTTTTTTAAGTTCAGCCACAAAATCTCTATTGGATTGAGATCTGGACTCCAAGACATTAACATTGTCATTTTTAAGCCATTCCTGCATAGCTTTGGCTGTTTGCTTGGGGTCACTGTTGTGCTGGGATACAAATCTTCTCCCAAAGCTGAGATTCCTTGCAGACTACAGTGAGGTATGAGGCATGAGGTTATCCTCTGGGATTTCCTTGTATTTTGCTGCATTCTACCCTCTACCCTCCCCCACAAGCCTCCCAGGGCCTGCTGCAGAGAAGCATCCCCACAGCATGATGCTGCCACCACCATGCTTCACGGTGAGGATGGTGTGCGAAGGCATTTAGTCTGATAACCGAAAAACCGTGAAAGACTTGTCTGTTTCTATTAATTAGTGTAAAAAAAAAAAACTACAATCAAATTAAATCTACTGTGATTCAATATTCTATGACAATAAAACTTGAAAACGTCAAAGGGGGTGAATACTGTAGTTGATTGGCAAAGACAAGTTTGGTGTTTGAAGTTTGCTTATTTAGTTTTGCTATGAGGCTAAAGTAGCTAACAAGTCATAGAAGCTTATACCTCACTGGTTATCATTGTGCAAACAGCAGGACTGAATCATCACACACTTGCCTCAAACCACACTGTCTTGTTAAGCAATCAAACAGACTTGCTTATGTGGCTTCTGACACAGATGGCTATATGGCAGAGGTGCCCAATGCTGGTTCTGGAGATCTACCATCCTGGAGAGTTCAAATCCAACACAACTGGCTCAAATATTCAGATGCCTCTGGAGGCCTTGATTTCATGGATCACGTGATAGATCAGGGTGCTAGAAATCCACGATCAGGATTGAACACTTCTGCTGTATGGCATACTGGTATCTTTAAAAATGGAGAATTCAACAGTAGCAGCACAGACTTCAATATCTAGACTTCAATACCAATCTTTGAATTTTTTTTGACATTGTCTTTTAAATTGCAAACCGAAACTGGGTGTGGGGTGTGACTTGCTGGATTTAGTATGTTTACTGACCACAACAGCCTGCAGAATATTCAAGAAGTGTTAATGCTAATATCATGCTTACAGAATGTGATTTGAACAGCCAATCACAAGTCTAGATTTTTAACAAGCATGCTAACGCTTAGGTATCAAAATTTGCATTAAATGACAGATATTTTCAATACTTTGCAGTATTATCTATAGTAATATTCTAATAATTCACTTGATACCATAAAAGTATTGAATTTCGATGTCCAGTGCTAATCACAGCCACATAATTTCATAATCACAAGCAATGCAGTGTTAGAGACCACCAATTTTGTTTATTTAATTTCCACTCAAAATGGCCACTAAGTACAAGTTATTCATTGGAAACATATAATTAACTGAAAATTACACAGAAGCCTCAACAACTAAACATAATATCACATCTATCAGTATTTAATTTTCCACTCTTTACTTTTGTCCACAGTACTGTGACTTTAATGCTTCCAATCTTAAAACCAACCAATTCCAGTTGTGTCCTCCCACCTCAGCTGCCTTCAACACTTCTTTTTAATGTGCATCTAGAATGACTAAAGGAGATACTTCTGAGGAGATTAGATAATCCACTTGCATAAGGAAGGAGAGAGAGGAGAAAATCAAGCTCAACTCTTGCTTCATATCTAAAAAAACTACAGGTGTTTCTTTCTGTCCTTCCACTGTGAGAAGACAACTCAACACTCTGTCTGAAAGGGTGTGTAGCTGTTAAGAAGTATTTACTGAGAAAAAGAAACAGATAACAAAGAAGAAAAAATGCAACTGAATACCAAAATTGGACATCAGAAATGTGGAGTAAGGTTTTATGGACTGATGAGTGCAAATTTGTAATTAGGATTAATTTGATTGCGAGAAGCAGAAAATGCAACCAACTTCTAAGACTGAACTTTGGAGGTGTGGAAAAAAAATCCCTGCAGATTTCTTTGAAAAACTCAAAGCAAGTCTCCCCAAAAGAATGTAAGCTATAATAAAGTCAAAGAGTGGACACACTAAATACTGAAAACTATTATATTATATGTAGTTGTTGAGGCTTCTGTGTAATTTTCTGTTAAATATATGCTTGCTCCTTTTTTCCTGATGCTGAAAAATAATAACTTGTACTTAATGCTTGTTCTGACTGGAAATTAAATACATGAATGAGTGGTCTCTGACTTTTGCAAGTAAAGGGACTAAATTCTAATAAAACTGGCACATGCACTGTGCTGCTCATCTTTGAGGCCTTCACTGGGTGCTAATGGACATGTCAGCCGGACAGGAGGAGATTAGTGAGTGTGGAGCGACAGCACAGATGTCATCAGTCTGTTCAGCAGCTGTGCTCATCACCCACGCGCCAAATATTAACAATACGTCTGCACATGCTGACGATGCAGTGAGCTACAGTTAGACCAATGTAAGCAACACAGTAGGTAGAGTAACTGAACTGTTGCTCTCTCTAATACACCCGAAAACAATCACTGCACTTCAAAGCTGGAACTGATAGCATTATACTAAGGAGTAGGTATGGCACCATTAGGTTTAGCAGGAGTTAATGTGACAGGACGATGATCTTGGAATGCGTAGCAGACACAGAGGGGCGTGTATTCTGCAGCTGGGAGAGGACTGTGCACAAGACAGAGAGAATAACACACAAGTGCAAATGGAGCTGAGCTACAGTCCGGGGTCTTCCAGCAATAAATGGAAAAAGACACTAATTAGTTGGATTAAATGGAGCATTGAATGTGAGTTAATCAATAAAGAACTGGCACAACGGGAATACCAGAGCAAACAGACTGGCTGCCCAGTTTGCAAATGAACGCTTCGCCAGTCCACACCAAATCACGCGTATATAACACAATGATAACCACGAAAATGATACGCTTAAAGAATACTCACCGCAGAATAAGTAGTGTCTCTACGTGAGCTATGTTATCCTGCTGTTTTCTCTCCGCTCACTCGCTCAGGTTTGGGCTTGCTCCTTTGTCAGCCGGCATCCTCTTAAATCCATAATGTTCCACTGTAGGAAGAGGAAGTCACCAACACTATGTCTCTCTTCCTTTTTCCTCCTCTCTCTCTGATTCTCTGGCCAGGAAAAGACAGCTGGTGGCTGGCACTCACAAGTAGTGGCTCCTTTCCCTTGGGCTGGTGCAGACAAAGACGGGTGCAGAATTAGGGTGGGTGTGTGATTGGGTAAGAAGATGACTGCGTAATGTATCATCAGTGCTCTCTGAGGTGACTAGATCCTCTGCAACTAGATTGTTAGCAACTAGATCCTCAATAACTAGATCCTCAGCAAGTACTTACCAACTGTATGCTCAGTGACTAGGGCCTGAGCATCTAGATTCTCAGAAACTCAATTTCAGTAACTAGAACTTTAGAAACTAGATCCTTAGCAACTGAATCCTTGGCACCCAGATCCTTAGCAACAAGATCCTCTACAGCTAGATAATTTGTGACTATATCCTTAACTATATCCTCAGAAGTCCTTAGCAACTAGATCCTGTAACTAGATCCTCAGCAACTAGATCCTCTACAAATAGATTAGGCACTAGATCCTTAGTAACTAGAGGCTCAGTGACTATATCCTCAGGAACTAAATTGTCAGTGACTAGATCATTAGCAACTACATCCTGTAACTAGATCCTTAACAACTAGATCTTTAGCAACTAGATCTTTAGTCACTAAATACACAGCAACCTAACTGTTAGTGTCTAGATCTTCATCAGCTAGATTCTCAGTGACTAGGTCCTGAACAGCTGGATCCTCAGAAACTTGATCTTTAGTAACTAGATCCTCTACAACTAGATTAGTTACTAGATCCTCAGTAACTAGATGCTCAGTGACTATATCCCCAGGAACTAAACAGTCAGTGACTAGATCCTTAGCAAGTAGATCATGTAACTAGATTCTTAACAACTAGATCCTCTACAACTAGATCAGTTAGAAGATACTTAGCAACTAAATACTCAGTGACGATATGCTCAGGAACTAAATTGTCAGTGACTAGATCATTAGCCACTAGATCCTGCAACTAGATCCTTCGCAACTAGATAATCAGAAACTCAATCATTAGTGTTCATATCTTCATCAGCTAGATTGTCAGTGACTAGCAGCAATTAAATCCTGAGGAAGTATATTTCTCCTCTATCTGATCTGATTTTCTCTGTTTAGTATTTAAAAGGATTAGTAAGGTTTAATATTTAAAAGTTTCCCCTTAAGTCTCAGTGTTTCTTTATCAAGTTCTTGGGGAGTTTTTCCATTTGAGCTTTGATTGCAGGCTCCTTTCAGTATTTCTTCCTCATGCACTTAGGGAGTGTTTCCTGACACTGTGACCCTCAGCTTGGTCATAAAGAGTTGGGACCCAGATTTCTCTAAAGCTGCTTTATGACAATGTATATTTGAACCAAATTAAACAAATCCCCAGCAACTAGATCCTCAGCAACTAAGTATTCAGCAGCTAGATCTTCAGCTACTAGACCCTCAGCATCTCCTCAGTGACTAGATCTTCATCACCCAGATTCTCTGCAACTGTTTCTTCAGTGACTAGATCCTCTCCAGCCTGATGCTCTGCTCAGATCATCCATGCACTTCAGTCCTTACCTAGAAGAGGTAAACCCAGGCTGCCTTTGCCTCCAGTGCTTGCTACTGCCTGGGTGGATGTTCCACTGCTGGATTTGGCTCATCTCCACAGGGGCTTAGGGATATTCTCACTTTTATGTTCAGAATAGCCGCTGCTCCAGCCAGGATACGATCATAATCCCTCTCCAGCGACGGCCACCAAGCAGCAAACAGTGCTGGGATGATTACGTAATCTCACCTTGGGGGCTCAGCCACCTCCCTCTGCCGTCTGCTTTTCTCTTTCAATACATAATGAAAAAGCCCTTTCTTTTTAATATGGACGCTATTCCACCTGTCTAAAAGAAGACCATCCTGCCTATGTCCCTGTTTCTGCTCCGATACAGGCTGGCAAAGATGGACGACCGCTCATTTTCACTGTTCCCTAGCAACAACATCACTCTCTCTCTCTCTCTCTCTCCTTTGTCTCTCGCTCTCTCTTACTTTCACACAAGCTGTCTTTAGGAAGCCCCTCCCTTTTCTCATCCCCCCCCTTTCCTTGCTCTCTAGCTCCTCCCTCCCACCCTTTCCCTTTCCCCTCTCTCTCTCTTTCTCTCTCTCCCTCTCTCGCTCCAGCTGCCTCCCTCTCTCAGAGCTGCTTGACTGTGTCAGTCAACAGAGACTCATCCCTCTGTCTCTAGAAGCTCTGTGATTGGCCAGGTTCCATTCTCTCTTGCTCTACTATTGGATGAGAAATTCTGTTGTGTCCCCACATTCTGTGCAATGATGTCATCGGTTAATTCTTGTGGGACTTTCACACTGTAGCCCGCAGCCTCAGTTCAGCACACGTGGCATTGCATATAATCCTTCAAACCTAGACTGTATTAATGTGCATTCACCAGAGTTTACTGATAAATAGTGTAATGTTGCTTAGAATGCCCTATATCTATAATTGTACTGTATTAAACTGCTAAACAACACTAAGGCCCAATGTATCTGGACACTAGACCATCACACCAATGTGACCCTGTTGGTCCTACTCCAAAACCATGGGCGGTAAAATGGTGTTGCCCCCCTTGCACCTATACCAGCCTCCACCAGACTTCTGGGAAGGCTTTCCACATGATTTTGAAGTGTGTCTGTGGGAATTTGTGCCCATGCAGTCAAAAGAGCATTTGTGTAGTCAGGCACTGATGTTGAATGAGAAGGCCTGACTCACAATCAGTGTTCCAGTTCATCCCAAAAGTGTTCAGAGGGGCTGAGGTTAGGGCTCTCTGCAATGCACTGGAGTTCCTCCACACCAAACATGTCTTCACGGACCTCACTTTGTGCATAGGAGCACATGCTGGAGTGGAAAAGAGCCTTCCCCAAATTGTTACCACAAAGGTGGAAGCATATAATTATTCAAAATGTCTTTGTATGCTGAAGTATTAACATTACCCTTCACTGGAACTAAGGAGCTGAGCCCAAACCCTGAAAACAGCCACAGACCATTATTCCTCCTCGACCAAACTTTATTGTTGGCACTATGCATTTCTCCTGGCATCTGCCAAAACCTGTTTTGAATATTAGACCGCCAATTTGTCAACATGTTTCCAATGCTCCAGAGCCTGGCGGCAGCATGCCTCACACCAGTCCAGCCAATGCTTGGCATCGCGCATAGTGATCTTAGGCTTGTGTGCAGCTGCTTGGCCATGGAAACCCATTTCATGAAATTCCCGATGCACAGTTCTTGTGCTGATGTTGCTTCTAGAGGCAGTTTGGAATTCTGTAATGAGTGACTTGTGGCAGAGGTGGCATCCTATGAGAGTGTCATGTTTAAAGTCACTGAGCTCTTTCAGTGTTTGTCTCTGGAGATTGCATGACTATTGTAGGCCAAGTGCCCGACATCAGAGTTCAGCTAACATGTAGCTTTTTACAGTCTGTTTATTTGAAGTGTTTATTTGACAGTGCTTGAGGGTAGACTCTGGATGAACTTGGCTGACCAGTGCTTAAGTGCTCTCAGTATGGACTCCATTAGTGGACAGGCCGGGCAGTCGAGCAGAAGCTAATGTTATCAGAGCTTCTATAAATACATTTCAAAATTCACTGCTTTTTCATGCCCTGAAAGTCTTTAAGGCTGTGCCCTTTTAAAAGATCTTTTAATTGATCCATGTAGACATGTGCCATTTTGCTATGTAGAAGCACAATTTAAAAAAAAAATGATCCAGAGATGAAATACAGAACTGAGATTTGTGTTACCATTTGATCATATAGTCTTAAGCATTTGAATGAGACACATCCCTCATCCTGAAGGCTCACTGACCTGCAATGTTTAGTGTTTTCCTGCCCCCAACACAACTGATCCAACTAATCAGCTCATTAACAGCCCATTATTGATTTTAAGTGGCTGTGTTAAAGCAGGAAAAGCACTAAAATGTTCAGGGCAGTGGGCCTCCAGGACCTGGGTTGAGAAACACTGTTGTAGACATCACAATATCTGGTTCCTTTCACCAACACTGACTCAATAAGTACTAAATGCTAAGCACCATTTCACCTCACAACATTAAGAATGACTTTTTTGCAGAAATGGTAAAAAAAAATTCAGTGGCTCCAGAGCTGCATGCGACTCCTCTACTGCCCTGTTGTGGCTCCACAGCAGCATTAGATTTTTAGGTAAAAATAAAATAGTCCTGCTTTGCAGTAAAATAAAGCTGTGCTGATCGTTCTAACACAGTTTTAACGATAAATGTTCTTAAATGCTGGAGTTAATGTAGCCTATAACTGCTAATTTACCAACCTTTAACCCTACTGGCACTCAGACTGCTGGTCACATAGCAACACAGACAACAAAGTCGCCTAGCTAGTAGCTAACAAAAAGACAAAGGGCGAAATTTCAGGATGAACATTGATGATTTGGAGATGAATGGACTTTTGCATTTATAAGATGGTCTCCTGATATATTTAATCTGCAGTGAGAAACTGTCAAACACTAAAAAGTCGTGAGGCTGAAGTCAGATTCTCATTCCAGCTTCTTGTTCGAATTGTTCCATTCAACCTTAAATGGTGCAGCGTTTACATTCTGTCATCTCTGGCATCATTTAAGGTGGAACAGAAAAATTCAAACAAGAAGCTGGCAAATGAGAAGACTTCAGCCTCGTAAAAGGTTGAACATTGAGAGACATTTTACAAGAAATTATTCTGCTTTTCCTGGTGGATAGGTGAGAAAAGTGGCTATAGTTGAGCTAAAGCTTAAAGCAGAGCAAAGTAAATCTGCATTTTTGTTTATATTATATTATATTATATTATAAGTCTATACTAGTACATTAGCACATACTGAGACATATTTACAGCCAAGATGCCAAAATGGACATAAAATGTTGTGGCTTCAAAGGTTGTTTGTTTTTTGTTGGAAGGACAAAATGGCTCTTCTTTACGTTTGGGTTGCCGACCCTTGTGCTGAGAGAGGGAGCAAGTTGCTGCCTGTAAGGTACTTAGCTTAGCCACCACTAGATGGCACCCCAAATCAGCCAGCTCCTCTGGTGGTGTATGAAGAACATGAAGAACTAGTGAGATCAGATGAAGAGATCTGTACATAAACAAATTAACTTTGAAACTGCCATCTTATATACTTTTTACTTGCTTGTTTAGATGAAGAGTTGAATAAAGCCCTTTGTTTGTCATCTGTTATTCTTTTTTTCTGACCCTATAGTTGTGTGCAAAACAGAGAACACACTTCTACTGTTATATATATATATATATATATATATATATATATATATATATATATATATATATATATATATATATACAGTGATGCTCGAAAGTTTGTGAACCCTTTACAATTATCTATATTTTCTGCATAGATTTGACCTTAAACTTCATCAGTTTTTCATACAAGTCCAAGTAATAGATAAAAAGACCCAAATTAAACAAATGAGACAAAAGTATTACACTTGGTCATTTATTTATTGAGGAAAATTATCCAACATTACAGATCTATGAGTGGCAAAAGTATGTGAACCTTTAGGATTAGCAGATAGTTTGAAGGTGAAATTAGACTCAGTGTATGGCACGGTTGCAAGGAGAAAACTGGTCTCCAAAAACAACATCGCTGCCCATCTGCGGATCTTTTTTAATTAAATGAGAAGCATGTTTGGAGAAAGGAAAACCCATCTGTAAAACTTGGTGGTGGTAGTATCATGGTTTGGGCCTGATAGAAGCTGTTTTGTATGGAGAAATGAGCTCAAATTCAACCAAGCCGATGTGCAGGACTAATCAACAGTTACTGGAAACGTGTAGTTGCAGTTATTGCTGCACAAGGGGGTCACATCAGATACTGAAAGTAAAGGTTCAAAGGCTCTCTTCTATTAGGAGTAGTGTGAAAATCTGATGAAGTTTTAAGTCAAATTTATGCAGAAATATGAAAAATTCTAAAGAGTTCACAAACTTTCAAGCACCACTATATATATATATATATATATTTATATATATATATATATATATATATATATATATAGTGGTGTCAGTATATATATATATATATATATATATATATATATATATACATCAATCAGGCATAACATTATGATCCTTGTTTCTACGTTCATTGTCCATTTTATCAGCTCCACTTGCTATATAGGTGCACTTTGTAGTTGTATAATTACAGACTGTAGTCCATCTGTTTCTCTGCAGGCACAGCAGTGCTGCTGGAGTTTTTAAACACTGTGTCCACTCACTGTCCACTCTATTAGACACTCCTACCTTGTCAGTCCACCTTGTAGATATAAAGTCAGAGACAGAAGCTCATCTGCTGCTGCACAGTTTGTGTTGGTCATCCTCTAGTCCTTCATCAGTGGTCACAGGACGCTGCCCACAGGATGCTGTTGGCTGGATATTTTTGGTTGGTGGACTATTCTCAGTCCAGCAGTGACACTGAGGTGTTTAAAAACTCCAGCAGCACTGCTGTGTCTGATCCACTCAGACCAGTGCAACACACACTAACACACTACCACCACGTCAGTGTTACTGCAGTGCTGAGAATGATCCACCACCCTAATAGTACCTGCTGTCTGAGGGTCCATGGGGGTCCTAACAAAGTATGCAGAGAAACAGATGGACTACAGTCTGTAATTGTAGAATATAAAGTGCATCTATATAGTAAGTGGAGCTGATAAAATGGACAATGAGCGTAGAAGCAAGGAGGTGGTCATAATGTTATGCCTGATTGGTGAATATATATATATATATATATATATATATATATATATATATATATATATATATTTTAATTTTATTTACAGTTTATATGATTACACACTGTAGCATTTGTTGTTAGATATTATATATTTGGAATACAATGAGTATATATGAATTAGAAACTCTAAAGCTCTAAAAAAATCAGTGAGTCAATGAATATACTTTAAAAGATAAGCAGAACAGTAAAAATAGCAATAATACTAATATACTTTTCATATTAATATTTTAAAAAGTATTCAAGTATTCAAGTACTATGCATTCAAAGCAACAGATATTATTTTCCATTTTTGAAAACTGTAGTGTTGTTTATATTATTGCATTACTATAGACAAGATAATAGCTGTGGAGACCTTGTCTCAAGGTGAGATGGCCCAGCTGTCAGTGAGCAGTTTGTAATGAGCTAAGCCCCTGAGCCGTTTTACCCCCAACACTGACACCCAGCTCCTCTCACACCTCCGGTTCCACACTTCCAGTGGTGCAAATGCTTAACGAGAAGAAAGTGTTTCTCTTTTTCTCCATCCATCTCCAAGAGCTGGGCTAGGCTGAGCTCTCAGTCAGTTTGGGCCGTCTTGAGGCCGTAATCATACGTGACCTCTCCAGATCGTAGTTCTGTCCACTGCACCTGAATCATGGCTTTCTTAATGCAGCAGATGATGGGGGATAAGTTGAAGAACATGATGGGTGGAGGAGGGGAGGACTCGGGGGCGTCCGGAGGGGACGGAAAAGAGACGGCCGAGTCTAAAGGAATGACCCGAGAGGAGTTCGAGGAGTACCAGAGACAACTGGTGGAGGAGAAGTGAGTAGAGCCGAATGCTGGCCAGAAACATGCTGGGCTGCGTAGCTCAAAAGCAAGTTTAAAGAAATGTCAAAAAGATAAAAGTAATGAAACTGTCAGGGTAAATCTCTGACCTCTGACCTTGCAATGATTTGAATGCATTCTCAATTGTCATGTATTCTAACATACAACATTCCAAATTCAATGCAGCTGAATCGTCCACCACCTTGAGATGGATGCATTTTTATACTCCTAGTAATCTGGGAATCTACTTTGATACTTTTTTACTGAAGAGTAGCATTCATAAGGCTACATACATACTTAAAAATGGTGGTTCTTCAAGGGTTCTTTAGTAAAGAAAACGGTTCTATATCAGTCCTTTATTAAAAGGGTTCTATGTAGCACCAAAAACGGTTCTTCTGTTGTAAGTAGCCTGACATCATAACAATAGAAGTACTCTTTTTGGTGCTATATAGACCCCTTACACATTCTATAATGGTTCTATATCGGTCCTTTACTAAAAGGGTCTATATAGAACAATCTACAGCACCTCCATCAATCTGAAGAACCCTTTGATGATGCAAAAAAACAAAGGGTTGCAAAGGGTTCTTTGAATGTTCATGGTTCTGTATAGAACCATTTACTATAGAACCCTTGAAGAACCATCATTCTTAAGTGTGTAAGCCTTTCATGACAGCTGACTTAAACCTACATTAACATTTATAAAGGCTTATTTTAACAAGCATGAGTTGTAATAAAGGTAGTAATAAAGGCTGCTTTTGTTCATTTTGATGACATTTCAGCTCAGTAAGTGTTATTACAACTGTTGTTTGTTGGAATAAAGACCTTTGTACATGTACCATTTTACAGTAAGACTACACTTATAAATGATTTATAAATGGTTTAAAATTAGTTTATTAATATTTTTAATTAGGTCATAAGCACCTTAAAGGCATTAATAAGCAGTTACAACACTGCTGGTTGGGCTGTGTGTAGACTGGATGCTGGTCCAGACTCAGTGTGGTTTACTCTATTTCAACACTGTAGATTTAATACAGAGTGGACAGAAGTGAATGATCCTGACACCAAACTCTGCATGTTCAGATTTACTTTTAGATTTGTTAAATGTGAATTTCCTTAATGTTTCAAAAAGTCTACATAATTTAGTAGTTGAGATGTAAATAAAGTCATTCAGAGTGGTTTGATGTGAAATTGATTATTGTACAGAAACTTACCAACTCAGATTTCTTTACAGTGGTGGCGATAGGAACCAGAGGTCACAATGTCTACAACACAAACAGTTATTTTAGTTACAATCCAAAATGACCAGTGAATCTCTACATATCTTCTGTGTTTTACATGTAATGTTGATAATAGTAAAATAGTGGTGATCTGAAAAAATAAGTTTTCTTTGGGGACTATTTTGCCTTATGATACTCTGAATGTACCCCACTGCCATGTATACATTTTAAAACATACATGTTTGCCCAAACCTTATCAAAGAACTATCATAAAACAATGCTTAATGCATTAAATGTTTTGGATGTCTGGTTCCTATCACCACCACAGTGTACTAACTAGTCTGACTTTCTAAGTTTCTTTGAAACAGACTTTCTCACATTAAACCACTCTGAATGGCTTTGGTTGCTTCTTAACCATTTATATAATGCAGAAATTGTATGCAGAAAAACTGGTGGAATTCCCTTTAAATTAAGGGTGAAGCATCTGAGATACACAGAAGTCCAGAGGGCCATGAGCTGTTGCTATGATTTTATCTCAAAATAACAGAGATAACAAGATAACTAACTTGTTATTTCAAGATAACACATTTGTTGTCTTGAGATCACAAGATAATTAGCTCATTATCTCAAGATAACAAAAGTTGTTATTTTGAGATAATAAGTTAATTATCTTACAATCTCAAGATAACAAAGTTGTTGTCTTGAGATCACAAGACAATTAACTCTTTATCTTAAGATAATAATCCAGAAAATTACAGCATCATGGCCTCTCCGGACATCCATAGAGATTGGTTAAACCATTAATTCAATTCAGCTTCACTTTAATCATTGAAGTATTGATCCCCTTAACTTGTAAGGGTCTGTATGACCATGCTTCAATCCAGGCTAAAGTGCCGCTTGGTAATGTAATGCTTGCTTAATTCCTTAATTCCTGTTCCCAAAGGTTTGGTGGATGACATGAAAACATGATCTTTTAAATCATCACTTAAATCATATTTAAACTACCCAATAAAAACAGTTCTGTCTGGTTTGCTAATGCTTGCCCTACATTGGCAGCCAACGCTTCATATTGCTTTGAAACCAGATATGGAGCACTTTATGCCTCAGTGCGTGTGTCAATGTATACAATTCGTATTCTCTGATAGTACTGGAAAATATTATCCCATGTTATATTGCAGTGATATTACTATACAGTATTTTCTGCTGTTGTTCTTTTTCCTGCTGTCAAGCTCTACAACCACTGATAAAACTAATGTAGGGCTAATATATGACAGTAGGGCAGGAATGAAGTGAACACATCAAAACATGTTATTTGAATTTATTTCTTTTTGTATTTTTGTACATTATTACATTTATTATTATTTATGACATAACCAACAGCCATGTTACAGTCTAGCAAATCAGATCTGAGATGCATTTTATGTTTTTATTCTCTAATGCTTTCAACTTTCATACTTAATATATATGTAAATGCACCCAAAAAATATTGTCATGGTGGCACGAGTAGCACTGTTGCCTCACAACAAGATGGGCCTGGGTTCTACTCCCCAGCCAGGTAACCCAGATCCTTTCTGTGTGGATTTTGCTTGTTCTCACTGTGTCAGCATGGTTTCCACCCAAAGACATGCAGTATTCGTATATGATAAAATATATGATACATGTAAAAGACCTCTGTTCTGATTGGCCTGCCATGTATTGTGTCTCAATCAAAAAGCATTCATTATAGCTTTGATGTGAATGGCTGAGGCTTAACTGCTGGATATATGTATAGTTGGATATGTGTCAATGAGTGAGATTTTGTGACATCACACACAAGGAATTCAAAACAGGCAGTTTTTGCAGCGTAGTTTCCATATACAGGTTGTATGGAAGTGAATGGTATGTTCTGGCATTTTAACAGTGTTTATGTACTGCAAGTCTTTAAAAAAGCAAGGAAAATTTGATTTTTCAAGATAAGGGCTCTTACATTTCTATTAAAGGTGAAACTACTAAATTAAAGGAGTACTCAAGTATTGTTCAACATAATCTGGATCTGCTACATCTGTAGCATACAGCCAATTGCTGAGATAATAGGTTCCCTGTATTTCAAAACATGCTTATAAAAGAAGCCTATTAACAGGTGTTTTAGCATCTGGCTATTAGCTGAAGTCCTCGAGGCCACTCATCATGCTGAGGTACAGTGAGTTTCAGCACCCGCCCATTTTCTTCTGTTATGAATGTATTTTGAGTAAACAGTTTTTGATTATTTACTAAGTCCAGGGAAATATGTCAAAAATATTGTCTGTTGTAATTGACTGTATGCTACAGATACAGCAGACAGAGATTAGGTTGAATCCTTTTCCTTTAAGCCCACTCAGCCGTCTATAATTTATGATTAACCATCCAGTCCACCCACTGCCTGTCTTCTTACGCAATGCGGTAACACTTCAGTATAGGGGAGCATTTCAATGCCCCTGTAATGCTTTTATTAAGCCTACAGGCCAGTAGTTGATAATTAACAGGCTGTGTATTACTACATTATTAAGCAACAACAAGATTGACTAGACTTTTATGTATGTATTCACCACAAATGAATGGTCTTGTTTTTGTCTGTCTTGTGGTAAAGAGCTCTTGTTGAGTGCAAGACCTCGTTTAGTTTATTTCTGTTTATGTTATGTTGTGTTATTTTTTTTTGGTTTTTGTTTTTTTTTCCGTGAGAATACAGCTTTGTAAAGGAAAGCACATAAGCGGTAACCTATGCACTGTATAATAAACAAATAACTAATTACTCTGGGAAATGCTCTGGTTACTCTAGTTTCTGCTTAATAATGTGGTGATAAGCAGCCAGTTAATTGGCAGCTGGTGGCTTAAGAAGGCTTTTACAAGTGCTCTGAAAAAAAAGCTTAATTCACTCTAGTTACTACTTAATAATGTAATAATAAGCAGCCAGTTAATTACTAAATATTGGCTTGATGAGTTAGTTAATAATTTTTGATAAGACTTAACATTGGTGCAATAATGCACAAAAAATTATGATGTATAATACACAAATTAAAGTGCTCTGGAAAATGCTTATTTTATCCCAGTTATGATAGTTATCCTAGTTATAATAAAGAACATGTTAATTATGGATGACCAGCTTGTTAAGGCTTAACAATGGCATCACAAGGACATTATATTGTCCCCCATACTAATGTGTTACCCAAAGCTGACCACACTCATGATCATACCTTCGTTGTCCACTAGAGACACTAGAGAATGACCACAGGACAAGTGTAATGACATCAAAGCAGCAAGTGACAAACCTATTAACAGTTTAAGAAAGAATGCAAGTGCAGTGCCATGGCAACTGTTGCTACAGCGACAGCGCCGATAAAAGTCACCATGACGTCTCGGAAAAAGGGGCTTCCACACGCCGGTCCGGTGTTATTCTGTGTTATGTGTTCTTATCTGTTTATATAACACCTGAGAGCATTAGGCCAGGAACTGGGTCACTGAGGTAAGAGCCCTAATCGGGTCAAATGCCAAGCCTTCCAGACTGGTCCCTCCCCACCCAAATGACACTGACATTGGCCTACTTTGACCCATCGCAATTATAGCAATTCTAGAAATACCGTGGAGACGTCACTGAAATGTTGGTAAATTCTTTTGTCGTTTAGGTGGCAGCCATGATGTTTTGAGGTGCTCAAGGTTCAGAGCAGGATTAGCTGAGTGGAATTGGGTGTAGCTATAAGTTCTTGTTTGGGACAATGGCCAGTGTGGAGTGTCATTAAAATAGCCTGGCAGTGACCGAAGGTGGTGAGAATTAACGCCCTGTCCTTTTCTGACTCCTGATCCACCTGCCCCTTATTCTAACCCTAAACCCCTCTAACCTTCTTACACCCCGACCTGCTGTCACAATGAGTGGCCTCCAGACCAAAATGTATTGGTTCTTTAAATAAAGAAGGTGCACTGGTGGAACCACAGCTGACTGACAGACAACTGACAAAATTCTCTGACTGACAAAAGACAACAAGGCCACTGACTGACTGACTGGGTAAAACTAACTTTCAGCACATTTGGCGAATGTCCCATGTGTCAAACACAAGGCCTGCAGGCAACGTCAGGCCCATGGCACAATCCTACTCAGCCCCAAGGTTATTTTCAATTTTCTATATATTTCTTAAAATCCCAGGCTTATTACAAGCTAAGACTTATTAATCAGCAACTACAGGGACCTCAATACAAATTGGTTGACCTATTCTTAGGTTATTGAAGTGTGTAATAAAACTTAATCGTAAACGTAATGTAAACGTAATGTGCACCCTGACCCTCCTCTCAAATAACAATCTGTGGGACAGTGGTCTACCTCCTTGGGGCATTTAAAAAGGTTTAACAGTTATATGTAGCCTATTGTTTCATATAATAGTTCAAGTATTCATGTAACATTTCGAGGTCTACCACAAGTGTCTATATTGTGCTGTTGCCATTTTGGCATATTTTGAATAAAAGCATGGACAGTTTGTTTTATAGTAAAATGTTAATTAAAACGAAACAAAAACATAGGCTTTCTCTGGCCCACAGATTTGTTGAGATTTTTAATATGGCCCTTTTTAGTGGTTGAATTTGACACCACAGGCATATGTCATGGCTACAATAACCTGTCCCAATAAACCTATTTATAAACAGTTTCAGTGTATGTTTTGAATCTGTGGGTTCACTGGGTTCTTCCAAAGTCCTTACATTATAAAGGAGGAGGAGGCTGTTCACTGGTTGAAAATGAATTAGCTCATAATGCTCAACTTGGTGTCCGTTTATGGGGAAAGTTCCACAAATGTGACTAAAATGAGCCAATCAGCCTGCTGGTAAAGCTGCACAAAGGTTTCATTGTTTTTGTGAAATGTCCTACTCATCAGCTGAAATGGAGAATGTAATTGGCTCTGCCGCTGAGTTCGACTATCTGACTATACGTTCCTATAGGTCAGCAGTCCATGCAGTTTGTTAAATGTTGTTAGTGCTGTGACCTTATTTATTCAATATTATTTTGAAGTGGGAATTTATTTAACTTTATTTATTTATTTTAAACTATTTGTTGCCATCAACATGCTAGTTAATAGTGAATAAAGTAGGTCACACCAGTGACGTCAACTAAAAGCTTCACATAAAATCATGAGCTAACTGAGAAAACTTCTGATAACTGAAAAGACACGGTGGACTTACCATGTGCTTTTTTCATAGATCTTCAGAAAATAGGTAAAAGGAAGTCAAGAGATGTCATCAGTGTGATTTTTATTTAAAAAAAATAAAAAATATATATATATATATATATATATATATATATATATATATATATAAAGTAAATAAAAAGTATATAAAAAGTAAAATAAAAATACTATATATATATATATATATATATATATATATTGTATTTTTATTTAACTTTTTATATACTTTTATCATGTATTTTATAATATTTATTTGGCATTTGTTTTCTTTATGTCATTTAATGTATATATTCCATAGTCATGTATAGATTATTGTAGGTAAAATTGCAGAAAAATGTGTTTTTTTCTTCAAAATATGGCACTCACCCTTTACACATGACTGTGGGGACAAGCACTTCTGTGGTGCTTGGAATTCTAGATAATTGATTTAAAAACAATATTGCTAAATTCATGGCTAAAGAAGGTGTAATTGGTAAAATAACATTGCTTTATTTTAAAATATAAATAAATTGTAACCCTAACATGTTTTTTAAGTGTAATATATCTGTAAACGCTAAAGACACAAAAATGGATGTTTCTGTAGAATGACCCAGCTAACACAATACAATAACTTCTCATTTGATCACTAATGTGGCAGATTGAACTATCAACACTGCAAGTGGTCTAAATAAAATTGTGAGGTTAACCCCTTAAATGGCCAGAGCCCACTGGCAGGCCCAAAGTTTTATTACACACTGTAACTTAAGAATAACTCAGTCAGTTTGCATTGAAGTCCCTGTAGTTAATGAGTAATGAGCCTTAGTAACAAGCTTGGGGTTAGTTAATTAATTGCTCTTATTACTCTCACATTTTCATCATATCTTAATGAGGTCTGGGCTTTAATATCCTCACACTAGTTACAGCCATGATTAGAGATGTTACAATGTACAAATTAATATTATGTTTTTAGTACTTATGTTGCAAGAAACTACACTGTGAACTGAATATAGTTCAGTTTGATGCTGTACAAAATTGTACTGATTTCAGTCATACTAACATAAACTGAAATGATTTCCACTGTTCTATCTAAAGCATGTGAGTGTGATGCTGGTGCAGATTTACAGACTGTCGACAGGCTTTAACACTTACAACGCGCCACTAAGGAGGAGCCAAGAAACTAGTTTTGCGAATGTTAAGCATAAAAGTGATTGTGGTGTTGCTGAATCTGGAGAATGTGTTTTTAAGTTATTCACCTGGGTAGGTAAACATGTGGATGGCCCTGGCTGGACATAAGGTACCCACCTCTGCTTCAAATGAATTTAACGGGTTTCTGGTCTGTTCATGCAATTATGTGTAAATTGTAGATTCACAGTTAATGGAAAACACTATGTATGCTTTAGCACAGCCTTTCAGAAAACAGGTTTATTACTGATGAGCTCTTTTACTTACAGTAATTAGCCTTATTATCTCTTTTAAAGTAATTAGCTTTTATTTACCCAACATTAAACAAAGAAAATAAGGTTCTCATTTGCCATATAACAAATTGATAGCAAGTTTTTTAAAAAAAAGTGCCACAAACAGTTCTTTGAGTGGTACCACAGAGGAACCACTTTTAGTCCCCTAAAGAACCATGCTTGATTTGTGAGATTTGTGAAAGTGAAAGAGTCTTTTAAAGGTTTGAAGTCTTCACATAATGTAAAGGTTCTATACTAATTATGTATAATAAAGGTTTTTCCTAGAACCTCTACATTTTGTGGAATTTAGAAAGGTTATCTACACTCAAATATCTCGTTGACAAAAATGGTTCTCCAAAGAACCATCCACTGAAAAGTTCTTCAGGGAACCAAAAGTGGTTCTTCTATGACATTGAACACTTTATTTTTTCAGAGTGTATTAAACATGCTTCTTTGTGATTTGTCTGGATTAATGTAAACATGTGTTTATTTTATTAGAATTCATAATTTCACCAAAACATTGACCTTTGTGTGTTTTACCAACAGGATTCAGAGGGACAAGGAGTTCGCTACGAGGAAGGCAGAAAGGGCTAATCTGAGAGTGCTGCTAAGAGACAAATACAGACTTCCACAGGTAGGCTAACTCGCTTATCTACAGCAGATTACATAGAAGGAATCAATGGAATCGAACCTGTAACCTTAATTTTAACCTGTTCATTTCGAGAAATTAGGTTTTGTGGCAAAAACAGTCAAAAATACATGTAAAAGTCTGAACACTCCTGGTCAAATTGCATGTTTTGTTGCTTTTTAAAGTGAAAATATTTTGTCACATCCTCTACAGAGAACAAACTCCGACTATGACTATTTGAAAATGGTTCTATATAGCACCAAAAAGGGTTCTTCTATTGTTATGATGTCAAGCTTTTAGCTTTTTTGGTGCTATATAGAACCATTTTTTAAAAAGATTCTATATAGAATCTATATATGTAGAACTAAATAGAACCACTGCCTTTGCTGAAGAACGCTTGAAGAAGCATATTTTTTAAGTGTGTATGGCATTTTGTCTGCAAATTCCAGTGCACAAGTTCTATTTATTTGCTGAGTTTAACATATTGGAAAAAATAAAATCTAAAATATAAAATGTGCCATAACTTTTGCACAGGCCACATTTTATTTATTTATTCATTTTTTCAAATATGTTCCATTCAGCAAATAAACAGTAATTGTGCATTAAAATGTGCAGAAGTGTTCTCTGTAGACGATATACAACTTATCCACAAAAATGTCATTTGACCAGAGCCGCCAAAACTTTGCATACGACTGTGTGTATATATTCTCATAATTGTTACAGTAACACTTTACTTTAACCCTGCTACATAACATTGTCATAACAATGTCATAAACATGTCATAGAGCATGTGACATGCATGTCATGAGATTATGTTCAGTAATATACCAATGTCATGTTATCATTACTGTTGACTTTCATGAAAGATGTCACAATGGCTAACTGGAGTCCACAGCAATAATTAGCATGTGACATAAGCTGTCATGACCTCAAATGTTAACACGTCGCAACAGCTCATAACAGTATACACTGAAAACCCTGTACAAGTAAACTTTACTCAAACTGTTTGAGGTAACTTGTTGCCTTAAATTAATTAAGTTTTTAGTTTACCAATCTTTTTAGTTTAACAAAGTAGAAGCACACATCACACAAACTATACTGTTGCAGAAACCTAAGCTTTTAAGTTCAAGTAACTACATAATTATTTCATTTTTTTAATTTTCATGGCACTGACAATTGTAATGGTCACAAGCTGAGATGTAAAAGAATCCTCAAAAAGAATATTCAAAACGAGTCTTTAGAGTTATATACTCCAACAACTGCTTTGAGTAAAAAAAAACTCTTGAGTTGGCAATGATATAAGCCAATGTGTCTAAGTCAACCAGTAAAAGGGACATATTAAAAAATCTCATCAAATCTGTGGGCCAGAGATAAAAAATGTTTTTTTTTTTTTCATTTTAAATTAATGTTGTGCTGTAACCCAAACTGGCCATTGTTTATTCAAAATATGCAAATAATTCAACAGTAAAATACAGACACTTGTAGTAGACCTTGAAATACTACATGAATACTTGAAATATTAAAAATTTAATGTCCCCAGGTAACACTCAATGACACCTGGCATCCTTTCTTTGCTGCAAGTTCATTAAGACGTGGGCTCAGTTTTTGAGCTCCTGAGCTAATTTTAGGTGTTTATCTTGCTTGAACTGCAGCTGAAATGCATTTTGGTGATATGACTGATGTGAACTTGTGCATAATTGCGTAGAACTGAGGTGTAACTGTTGTCCCAGATTGTTGTTGGGGTAGGAGAGTCAGAGCACATTACATTGCAGTGCATGCTGGAGACTGTAGTGCAGCACATTGTGAAACAGGCTAATATGAATAGAAAATTAAAATCCTTTTGCGGGATGGATAGGATTGTGTGGCTGGCCTTGAGTTTGACACATGGGATATAAGCTATACTGTTACAACAACCAAATTAAATACTAAACAGAGACGTTCATGGTTAAAACATACAAAGTGCATTCAAACTTGCATTTAAACTTTATGTAATATATGAATGTGTTGTTTGTTTGAAAACGACATCTGAAGGAAAAATAAGAGCTCATATACAGAAATCAACTAACCTGCTAGGATTTCTGTGTGACTCTGCCCTGTATTCTCTTATACTGTTTGTCTTTTTGTGTTTGTTCTGCATATTTAAGTAAGTACACTTAAATCAACCACACTATACAAACAAGAAAATAAGTAATTATAATTTAAATATTTTAGTACTAATAATGTCAGAGCTTTCAGTGATGACATCTGCCAAGACTTATTTACAGCATGATTGTGTCAGTGTAATATAGCAGGGTTCAAGTAAAGTGTTACCATGGTAACTCTATAGGAGAAGGTTTAACGTACATTAATGTAATAAAGTTTTATTAATTGATTTTGGACTGTGTCTGTTGGTCCATTGATCATGAAATGTTCATGTAATGTAAAGAGCAGCATGTCATTAGGAAATGGTGTAAAAATTTAATACAAAAATTGAGACACAAAGTTCTGATTTGACTATATCAAAGTATGTACTCACACACTCTTGTAAATGAAGGTGGCAAAAGGGGTTCAACCACTTTTGGTTCCCTGAAGAACCTTTCAATGGATCTACCTTTAAATAATCATTTTGTGAATAAAATACACCAAAGTAAGGGGCCAGGACCACCAGTGGTCCCAAAGTTTTATTACTTACTTCTACAACCTAAGAAAAGCTCAACCGGTTTGCATTGAAGTCCCTTTAGTTACTGAATAATAAACCTTAGTATGTAATAAGCCTTTTAATGGGTTAAAAAAAAACAGAAAGCTTGATGCATTTCAGAGGTGGCTTCTTCAACACTTAAACTAGCAACAACCTGATTCCACTGGGCAACTGATGGACCTTACTCCACAGTCCATAGCAGCATATCCCATTACATTTCATACTACTTGGTTTATTTGTCTCCATCAACAGAGCGCACAAGATGATGCCACTGTCCAGATGGCAGGAGACGACATCGACGTGCCTGAGGAGCTGGCCAAGATGGTGGATGAGGACGAGGAGCAAGAGGAGAATAATGACTCCTTCATGGCCAAACTCCAAAACATGGATGTGGACTTTGAGACGATCAAAACCAAAGCTCAGACCACCATGACAGAGGTGAAGCAAGCAGCTGAAGAGAAATGTGTCCTGATGTGAAAGTAGCCACTGCTGACCCTCTGAATTGGCAAGCTGATAGAGTCTAATGAAGAATCAGCAGCAATTAGCATGCATTAGGTTCTCTGTCCTTAGACTTGCGCTTCTTAACTGCTTGTAACTTTTCGCATCAGTTGAATTGCACAAATTACAATGTATTTACAGTTGTGAGGTTCAACTGGAACTGAAGTTTTTTATGTTTGCATAGAAAAATATGCATAGGGACTACATAACACATGCATAAGAACTGAATAACACATTATGAGGCAGTATTTAAGTATTTATGAGTTAAGTATTTATCAAGTATTTATGCTAGTAACCACAAGGTGACGTAAGATGTTATATGAAGCAAATAAAATTGCATTGACATAAGGGAGCTTAAACGAAAGTGATGGACATTTGTTCCATTTATAACACTATTATGAAGCATCAATTCCAAGCAATGGAACTTAGAAGGAAGTTTAGAAGTTTATATCAGTTCTACGTAGTTCTATATGAGGGAAAGTACAAAATCATTATATCAATATAATGTCAGTTTTTTCAGCTTATGGTATCTTGCGATTACTGGCATAAGCTGTTCATAAAAACTCAAGTATTGCTTTATAAATATGCTATTCAATGCTTATGCATGTGTTATGACGTCCTTATGCAGGTAGATTTCAAATAAAGTATCATTGACAAATGTCCATGATCTCCTAGAGCAAAACCTCCAGGATTAAATGAACACTTTTTGGGTCAGGTTCTCACATGCAGATTAAACCCAAGCTTGGACTTAATCATAAAATCACCATTTTCACCACCATTACTGAACATTTGCGGGGGGTCTTTATCTACAGTGGCTCCAAAAAGTATTTTTGTAAACTTTAATGAAGTTGTCTAGGTTATTTCATAAAATAGTTCAACAAAATAATATTTGTCTCAGAGAAAACCACTAACAGATGATGTGCTCTTTTTGTGGAGAAATTCTGGAGAAGAACTCCATCCAGACTGCACTAAGAGTACTGTAAAGCACAGAGGTGGTATTGTCGAAGTCTGGGGCTGTTAATCTTATAGTGGTGTCGCTGAGCTTGTGTTCATTGATGAGATCATAAACTCAGAAGCATACCAAAGCATTTTGGATTCAAACCTGCTGAATTAAAAATAATGTCATCTTTTAAAAGAATGTTTTGTACAAAAAAAGGGAGACTTACAACGGTCTGTTTAAAATAAATGTTAGTTTGAATTTGAACATTTGAATGCACTTAATACCTTTTTAAAATATGGCACAAATGTCCCAATACTTTTGGGAGCCACTGTTTCTTGATCATAGTATTTTGGATACAAGAATCAAGAAATAATACAATAATGATTGTGATCAGGATAAATAGGAACAAATTATCAATAAATGCTGAGCTGAACACATTGAAGCAATGAATAACTTCAGTTGCATACAGAAGTTTGGGCGCCCCGGTCATATGATATGTTTTGCTGATTTTCTGAGTGAAAGTAAGTTAATACATCCTCTACAGTGAACATAATTAGTGTTTATTTGCTGAATTTAACATATTGGGAAAAATAAAGCATAAAGTTAGGTCTGTGCAAAAGTCATGGCACTGTATGTTTGTATGTTTAATTTTTTTTCGATATGTTAAATGCCATGCTTGAGTTTGTTCTTAGCAGAGGATGTGTTAACAAATGGAAAATCAACAAAACAATTTGAACAATTAAAAGTATAAACTTTTGCATGTGACTATACATACAGGAGAAATAGAAACTTTAAACAACAGTAGCTAACATAATTCAGACATGACTGGACAGAAATTAATTACATTCTGATTAATTGTATTCTTTCAGTTCGGAAGTACTCAGGTCAGATGCACTGAGAACAGAATGAAAAACATGGCTAGCTTAAGGTTCTAAAAGACTATCTAGAAATAGAATGTAAAACATGCTGTTAATGTTGCTGCCTCTGCATTTAGTATTTTTTTTTAGCATTAATTTGCAAGGAAATGTATTTTTTCCTTTATTTGGGATGTTAATGGCTAAACTTTCTTATTAAAATAATATTATGTATTATTATGTGCTAACTAAAAACATTTTTCCATAGCTGCGCAATTTGTTTATTTGATGTATTTTTGTATTGCTGATACAAAGTATAAGTATTCATGCTGGATGTGCTGTACTTTGTAGCATCTTCTGTTCAATAGTATTTACCTCAACAAATGCGCTACAGACAGAACTCACTAGTGTGATGAGAGCGGTGTGTTAATGACAACATCTATCATTAAGGTTTTAGGACTGTAGTAAAAATGCTTTTCCAAATGCCCACTTAGCAATATTGGTCTGAATGGCACCTCTAGTGGATCCCTGCTGTAACATGCTGCTCTGTACACTCTGCAGACTTCATAAACGCATCACATCATTTTCACCCTTACCCTGCATCTTGACTTGATCTCAGTGTTCCTTCTCTCCAACATTCAGTCATAATTTCTCATTTTTTTGTGATGATCTTTAAAATTTTCATGATTTCAAAAATAGTTTCTGAATTTTCTGAAAGTGTCATCATCATTAATTCTGAAATTTCATCATGATTTCTGAAATTGTTGTAATTTTTTTTAAATTATTTCATCATGACTTCTGAAATTGTTCATGATTTCTGAAATATTTGCCTGATGATTTCTGAAATTGTTTCATCATGATTTCTGAAATTGTTTCATCGTGATTTCTAAAATTGTTTCATGGTGATTTCTGAAATTGTGATATCTGAAATTGTTTCACAATGATTTCTGAAATTGTGATATCTGAAATTGTTTCACTATGATTTCTGAAATTGTGATATCTGAAATTGTTTCACTATGATTTCTGAAACTGTTTCCAAATGATATCTGAAACTGTTTCATTTGACATCAGAAACTGTGTCATCATGATTTCTGAAATTGTCTGTGAATTCTCAAATTGTTCATGGTTTCTGAAATTATTTCATCATGATTTCTGAATCTGTTTCACATTGATTTCTGAAACTGGTTATTATCCATGATGGATGAATAAAATCACCTTGCTCTGTGATCACCCATGAGTGGTATTTACCTCTTATTCTCCAGGGTATAATTTGGTTTTTCCATCTGAATTTACGTGACTAAATCATAAGGCAAATTATTCAGTAACTGCATGAAATAAATGTACATTTTTATTTTATATATTTATTTATTTAGTTTTTAAAAGCTCCCCTCAAATGAATAGAACATGTGTTTTATGATCACATACATGTTGCTATATGCTTACAATTTATTGCTGAAAACCAAAAATCTTAGACGCTCTTTGTATTATTTTATAAAAATAACTTTTACAGAGCAGATCACTGAAGAGACGCCATCTGTTTATAGTTCATAGCCCAGATTTGTGGAAAAATTGTTCAACTTTCAGTAGACAAAAAAAATTGTGAGTTCAGCTTCTTTATTATAAGGGGTTAATACTACATTACCCATCTATTTGACTGGAAAGAAGCCAGTTACAGCTCTCAAATGACACCCACCTTTTGAATGTAGCTTATGAAATACGAACGTTATGAAGAATATGACAAAGTGCGTTTTGGAACTACCAGTGGTCTCAAGGAGTTGAAGAGGTTAAAAGCCTAACCACCGGTCAAAGCACTACTTTCTTGACTTCATGTAGAAGACGAGCTTGACACAAACATTAAGGTCAGAATATAAACCAAAACTGTATCTGAAAATATGACCAACTGTATGTATTACAAAGAAAGGCATTTTTCTTTGACTCTTCATCTGCCGTATTTTGATTTAGATTATAGAGACACACTCACCGAGCACTTTATTAGGAACACCTGAACACATTCACATTCATGGAATTATCTAATCAACCAATCATGTGGCAACAATGCAGCGCATAAAATCATCTAGATCCAGACCAGTGGCAGGCAAGTAATGTTCACATCAAACATTTTGACTGTGGCATGATTTTTGGTGTTACACAGGCTGGTTTGAGTGTTTCTATAACTGCTGGATTTTCATGCACAACAGCCTCTAGAGTTTACTTAGAATAGTGCTATAAAGAAAAAACACCCAGTGAGCGGCAGTTCTGCGGCCATGTTGATGAGAGAGGTCAGTGTAGAATGGCCAGACTGGTTTGAGCTGATGGAAAGGCTACGATAACTCAAATAACCACTCTATACAATTGGGACGAGCAGAAAAGTGTCTTAGAATGGACAACACATCACACTTTAAGGTGGATGGGCTACACCCTCAGAAGACCACGTCAGGTTCCACTTCTGTCAGCCAAGAAAGAAAACTGAGGCTGCAGTGGACACAGGATCACCATTGATCGATGAATCTCAATTTATGCTGAGGCACACAAATGGTAGGGCTAGAATTTGGTGCCAACAGCATGAATCCATAGCTGCGCTGATTCTAGCTTCAGTGGTGACAAAATCATTGACTTCTTTCGGAAATGCTCTTTTCTAGTTTGGGAATGCGCTCATCCACACATTAATTGGCATTTTTGTCTTTGGTTTGAGATTGGGCAAGTTCTCTACACTGTTAGAAATAAAAGTTCTGTGCAGGTACATTTTTTGTTCATCAACGTACAAACAATGTCAACGTACCCTCAAAGGTACAACAGTGGTTTTAAGGTCCAATTGTGCATCTTAAATAAGTTTTTCCAGGTGAAAAGTATGTATTTGTACCTTTTTATAACCTAATGTTTTAAAACAGAGTAATAAAATAAAAAGCCTGGAGACGAGACAAGGTGTGTGGAGTCAATACAACTGGTACAATTATGTTCCCTGACTAAAGGTTCTAAGCTGTACCCTTGAGGGTACCACCCCAGTGACAAGAGGGGTACTGCCCTAGTCACAGTTTCATACCTTTTTTCTGAGTGTGTAATGTATAAGTATGCTATGGCATATTGTAAAGTTTTTTTGGAGGTATTCTACATGTACTATATGGACAAAAGTATTGGGACACACCTCTTAATCATTGAATTCTTTCAATTCCATTGCCACAGGTGTATAAAATCCAGTATCTAGCCTTTACAAACATTTGTGAAAGAATGGGTCGTTCTAAAGAGCTCACTGAATTCGAGCGTGGTACTGTAATAGGGCGCCACTGCTGCAGTCAGTTTGGGAAAATTCTTCCAAGATATCCACTCAACTGTGAGTGGTGTTATTGAAAAGTGGAAGTGTTTAGGAACCACAGCAACTCAGCCACAAAGTGGCAGACCACAT